AGGTGCCAACCGTGCGTAATGACGCTGCGCATCTGGAGCGGGCAAGCTGAACTTTTAGGAGGACATGCCACTTAACATTCACATTAAATATCAATCAGAGCACCTCTGATTCCTCGATCGAGCCCTGACACGTCATACAAATGCTTCAGCTTTCTAACTTGCAGCTAGAGGCAGAAATATGTAAAAGTCACGTGAAAGCATAAATAGCCATCCGGAGCGTCATTTCGCTTTAAGTTGGTTTGACGTATAAAACTACACATAAAAAGCAGCTGTATGCATCCAGTGAAACTCTGAAAATATTGATTAACTTCACCGTATCTAGATATTGGAAAAAAGAGAAACAAATCTTACCAAGATACTGCCTGATGTCAAGGAGGATTCTTGGAGCGCCGCCGTTGAGTTGGTAAAAAAGCGAGCCAAAGCAGAAGAGGAAGAGCGCAGCCATGCAAAAACCGTAACCTCGCAAGGAGAAGCGCCACGGTAGAGCGCTGAGCAAGCCGTGCTTTCGGTGGTGGCGCTCTCTGATGTGGTTGGGAGTCTGGTGATGGTTGTTGTTGCTGTTGTGAGAGGGACTGCTGCTAAAATTCTTCATCATCTCCACCTCACAAAGCAACGTGGAAAGTCACCCATCCGCCTCTTGGAAGTAAAAGTTGCCGCTTTAGGATCATTTGATGGATGGGGAGAACGGTTAAATGTAGAAGACGCGCAAGAAACTCTGGATCTCCTTCCCTGCTGCTCCTGCTGCCTCTGGGTTTAGGTTGTTTTTAAGATGAACAGCGCTCTGCTCCTGATCAGTCCTATCTTCTTAGATGAGTCTTCCTTCCTTCCTTCCTTCCTCTCTTCCTTCCAGCAGAGTTAAGGGTTCATCCTTCTCCTCTGAGGCTGTATCGGTGTCAGATTACTGAACGCGGAGAGAAGTAAAAAGTCCACCTAAGACTTGATTTGGACCGGGGAGCGTAAAACAGCGCCTCTCAGCGTCAGTAGAGGGGGGTATTTATTTAGAAGGAGTTGGGATTGAATTTAGAATTTAAAAGCTGTATTTTACTTTTGCATTTTAATGAAAAAGACCAATATAGCACATCATTTAGAAATTCTATGTTTTCAAATTCTCTTGAAAAACAAATCTAAAAAGTTTGCTGGGCATTTCAATTAAACTCACTGCATAGGTACATTATATCACCTAATTCACTCGAAGCTCATGATTTTATTCTGTTTACACATACAAAATGAACAGTCTGTGAACAGCAGTTTTCAACTTTAGCGCCAATACTTCATTGGGTTTAAGTTAAGGCTCTGACAGGGCCATTATTTGATACGAACCATTGCATTTTGGCTTTGAAGACAATAAGAGTTGTCCTATAGGAATGTGAACCTCTGACTCACTCTCAAGTGGTTTGAAGCCTATAGCATTTTTTTTTTCTTATAAAACTCACCATGTATTTAACTGCATCAGTCTTCCAATCAAGTTTAAGAAGTGTTGCTTTCAATCAAGAAAAGCAGTCCCGGTTGCATGCACTTTCAGTTTTCTGAAGCTGTTAAAATATGGTTTTCTTCGATGTTTAATACTTAAAATATTTTATAACCTAAACCTACTTTGAACTTCTCCATATCTTTATCCTAAATATGTCTGATGGGAATCACGCTATTTACTAAGTAGGTCATTTCTAAAGGGAAGTGCTAGCACTATGTTAATTTGTTGATATTCAAGGGTATTAAGGCGGCTGATTATAGATCTAAACCGCACATTTAAGACTTTTTGAAAATTATCAATTTCCTTTCAGCAAAATTTCTGTACCACTTGGAGTTAGTCTGTTACAGAAGATCTAAATTAAATCCATTGTAACTTCTGGTTGTAACTTAGAATTAAAAATCCTAAGCATTTTCTAGATTCCAACTAAAGGGGATGGGATAAATATATTGGGACTAAGAGCATTAATGGTTTTATTAATTTGATCAGTTACTATTAATTAAGTTATTTAAAGTAATTAAAAATTTTATCTTAAAAGCTCCACAGCTAATATAGACTTTAAATAGTTTAGATTCAAGTCTAAACATTTATGTCACTGAAATTTGGATAAAGTATGGAGGAGCTAACTTGCATCTATTCGTTTCTTTATGTAATAGAGGTTTGTTTATAAACCTTCACTTGACCAGTAAAAAGAAACCATGGCAATACTCCATGTGATGGGAAAAATAAAAATAAAGATCTAATAGTATAGAGTGTAAAAGAGAGGACATTTTCACAAATTTAAAGATTCAGGTAAACATTATGCTGGAGTGTAGGTGTGTGTGTATATGAATAGGTTCCTTAACCAACCCCCCCAGACAACTTTAACCAGGTACGTTTGAACCATATATGTATTAGACATCGCCTTCACTTAGGTTATTGATAAATGTTTAACTAACAGCCTGTCGAAGATTAAAACAAAATAAAAAAAACTGGCTTTAAAGAGTAAAAGTAATGCAGTAAATACTAGTTTTGTTGCAGGGTTGTTCATGGGTCTTTTTTTCAGTTCAGGAGTCTATATTGGACATGCAGCATTTACAAGCCTCGCAAAAAAAGTTTTATTTTCAGAGTTTAAGACTCAGGCAGGCAGCCAGGCTGGCACAGTTTATCGTGCAAACTGATGGTATATATCTCACAACACTACACCGAATCCCATTTTTTCCTGTTAGCCCTGATGTTTATGAACTTTGTAGGCATCTAGAGAGAGCAGTTCCACATTACCTCAGACCTTCCATAGGCAGGCTGAGCAGTTCTGCAGCTTTATTAGACCCAGTGCTACTAGGAAGTTCACTTGAATATATGATTCGTATCAATGTTATTTTTAGTTATTTTGTGATGATACATTCTAAGCTTGTGATCTCTTGATGGGGAAGCTGCATACTGCTTTAACCGGATTCAGTGGCTTTTAAAAAGAATGACTTTCTACTGCAGAGATCTATACAGGGTTATAGATAAATGCCCTATAAATACAGGCTTAGATATACAGTATGCACACGCAATTAATAATAACTGCATAAAAGTCTCAGCAAGCTGTATGTTAACCGCAGAAAAATTCTTACATTTTTTTCTCTTTATGACAAGTGGAATAACATATTTAGACTGATTTGTCTTCTGTCATGAACTTATCCTCATTTGCTCTAACAGCCTGTATCCATTTGTCTGTTTAGTTGAACGTCAATGAAAAGGGTTGAGGTGGTTCTCTATCTTTGTAAATCAATTTATAAATAGAGAAAATCAGTATATCGGCACCACCACCATGATTAACAGTGAGCACAATGTTCATAGACTCCAAACCGGTAACCTGTTTCAACTCTTCTCATCACTGTAACCAAATCCCCAAACATTTGTTTCATCTGTCCATAGCACCTCTCTTTAGAAACCATTTGACCCTGAGTGCAGCTGCACATGGCTGAGCTTAAAGTTTGGGATTTAGGAGCAGATGCTGTTTTTCTTGGCCATCACCCTTTCAATCCATGCCTATGTTAGGCTCTTCAGTCTTCCAGTTTATGATCTGTTTGAGGCTTGGTGGTTCTTGAGTAGTTCTTCCATGATGCTAAACATTTTTCTTTCTTCAGTCTCAGGAGTGTTGTTTGGGTCAGATGATCGGATATAGGGTATAGTTGAGTAACAGCATGACAGTGAACCAAAACACATTAAAGAAGGATTTAGAATAAATAAAGATGGCTTCTGTTAAGCTTCTGAAATGGCTCTGACACTGACCAAAGCAGATAAGCTTAAAAGTTGGGTTCCCACCAATAAGCAACTTATTTAAATGAACTAAAATCCAACAAGATCAAACAAACAGCCTGAATTATGGCAAAAAGTTATTACTGACTATAAAATGTCTGTGGCTTGAATAATCATTTGGATATTCATTTCAAATATCCAAACAGAAAACGACATTTATGCTGCAGATAATCTTAACCCCTAATTAAATAGACAAATAATTATGCGCTAAAGTGCAAGATATAGCCTTGTGAATTCATTTCACAGCACTACAGTTCAAGAGAATTGAATGTGTTACTTAAATTTACTCCTTACAAAAATAAGTGTGAGCAGTGTGTCCAAACCAAATGTATAAATGTGTGTAAAGAATGGAAGTTGGATCTCATTAGCAATGCACATTTGACAAAAAAGGGTCCACTATGTCTGGATTAGGGTCACATAATTAAGCAACCACTTCAACTGATTGTAATCAAGAATCAGCATGCAGTGGAATCTGAACAAAACTTGATGCTGACAGTGAAGAAAGCTGCTGTTTTCTTCGTCGGCCTTACCCAGAATGTTTTTGCATTTGTAATCCTTAATTAGATAAAAGCCAGATGATTCCTAGACATCTAACAAGATGCATGTGGAGTGAATTAAATAGTCTGGGACCAAACATTACCCAATGGGTTTCCAGGTGGGGTCTGTACTTATTTAAAGCATCAACATGACAGCCTCAGATCGCTTTTGCCTACAGCTGCTTCACCACGAGAGCCAAACACTGACAGCCTGCAGTTATTCTTTTTGTCTTGTTTCTGAGCAGATATGTGTGTGTGTTCTTTAAATACAACACTAAACGTAGTTTATCTGTGATTTTTTTTTTTTTTTTTTATAACTGCAACCACATTTGCATTTATAATAATGCAGTATGTTTAGCAGGCTCGCTTTAAAGAAATTAAGCTATTGTAGTCTATAGAAAAACTACATGCTTTTTATTTGACCATCCAATTTGGAGATTTCTGCACATGCAAAACAACACTGAGGAAGTTTATTAAAGTGATTTGAAAAAAAAAGAAAGCACAGTCATGCCCACATGTTTTTTATGCTGTCTGCTTTTCATTTGCAGTTCCAGCGAACAAGTTGCCTTGAGCCAGCTTGTCCTTCTGACTCTCCCTTTAGTACACAAGACCAGCGGTGCCCATTCTTTGTTGAATGATTTTGAAAAAGGCAAACAGTAATTTGTTTGCCCTCCTAGGCTGTGACCAAGAACCGAAAACATTCAAGGGTGCATGTATAGCAAGAAACCATTTTTATTTATATTTCAGAATGACAAATAGTTATGGACATTACTTTTTGTTGTTTCAATACACAAGCAAAATCTGTATGGACAATCATTTAGTAAATGGAAACCAAACAAAATCATTTGTACACGTATTTTACAAAACATACTGTAGTTCGTCACTGACAAGAGCGATAAGCAGGAAGGTATTGCTATTCATATGGTACAGCTAATTACAGTTGATATGATAAAAAAAAAGCTAAATAAGTTATTAAATCAACATCAATTACACATAGAGAATGTGCAACCTCAGCAAAGCATTTCACGAATGTATTAAGGATTTAGTTTTAAAAAGTTGGAAATGAGTTACTGAAGGTTAACACAATATTGGTAAAATGGCATTGAAAACTTAATACAAAAAAAAATACCAGCATAATTCATTGAAACCCTTTACAATACCTGACATTGGTGTCCATTTATGGACCTGTGAAAATATGTAGCCAATTTTTGCCTATAAAACCGCTAGTTTAACCATCTAAAGTGCATTTACAGTGTCAGTATTTTCATTCTTTAACAGAATGCTTCCTGGGTCTTTTACTTGTTGAAACTGTGATTCCTATCCTCACTTGTCCAGAGCACCACTTTGATTGACGAGAGAAGGCATCAAATGACCGCATCAAGTGCCAACTGCAGAAACAAGCTCCTAAACTCAGCAACAGCAGCTGGTCGGACTTTGGAAAAACAATTTATGTAAAATGGATGGAATAAGTCTTCAGTCTAGTAATCACAAGGAAAGATGTGACTTTGAAGACAGGAGGAATTATCACTGGGAATATTTGCTGTTTCATTCAGAACGCATGACCGAATGTTCTTAGATATTTTCTACTCCATAATGCTGACAATTTTTCTTCCCTAAAAGGTCCCTGATTTTTAATTTTTTTTGTTTGTTTTATATTGAGAGTTCATTTCCATCTTTGTATGGCAAGGGTCCAGTTCCAAATCTACAGATTTAGAGTTTGAAAAAGCTCCCTAACATTTGTAAGTTTTGAGCTCACAAGATATAAACAGAGCAGTAACATCTCAAATGCAAAGGCCAAGATCTCGGCTAAATCTTTTTTTTTTTGTTTAGCAACATGTACCTCCAATGTATTCCAACAAAGTTCAGGCGGATCCAAACACAGAGTGAGAGTTATAGTCTTGTTCTTTGGTCCATATGCACCACCAACATAATTGTGCATTTCTTCATGTATTCAAAACACAGTTAACCTGTCAGACACAATCAGAAGGAGAAAAAGACCTGCACGTTTTTTGCACAGCTTCTTGTAGCTATTCATTCATATTGGTAAGGCAATTCCAAGTGTCCCTTTCCACACCGAGGAATGTACTTTCATTAAAAGTTGATTGTGATTACCATAGGAAACAAAGCTTTCTGTAGGATCTCCACACTAGAGTATGCTGTGTAAAAAGATGCATCATAAAAGTTGAATTATAAAGACATTGTGTCTCTATTCTTTCCAAATGACTGCAAGTGGGTGAATGAAAGGGCTGTAATATCTCAAACACAAACTTTAACATATAGATCCTTTTAGAATTCAGATGTTCTTTGTGCTATAATACAGAAACATGATACAAAATAAGCCACCTTTAATCCACTACTAAAAGCGGTTTATTCATTAAGAGTTTTACCTGTCCTGCCATAAGAGCTGAGAAATGGTTCAACCATGGAATATGGAGGAAGTAAACCATTTAAAATAGAGTAGCAGGAGGGAAGGAAAAAATACTGCTTGAATCTTACAAAAAGAGTGTGCTATGATGCTTAAAAGGCAGATCCAAGTCTTTTTTTGAAGACTTTAGGGGTGACTTTAGAATGGAAGAAATCCGATAGTCAGTTTTTAATAACTTTTCTAAAGGCATCTGATATCTTCTCCTGGCTCTTGACGCCGTAAACATTAAAGAAGGGGTAGCTCATTGAGTGTACTTTAGTGCTGTGCTCACTTAGACGTGTGGCCACCTCCTGGTTACGTTTTAAACAGCGAGGTGGCTCCAAGATTAGGAATGTATCCCTTTGTGCGCCTTGACCAGTCGGGCCTCACTGATAAGGCGGCGGGTGTTTCTCTCGTCCCGCACCCCGGCCTCCCTCAGGCTGCTCTCCGTTAATAGGGCCACACGACCCAGCGTGTCAACGCCTGCTGCCTCCAAAGATGGAGCGTACATGGGCAGGCCAATGGATACAAGCCAGTCTGGGACTGTGCTGATAGTGCCCAATGTTATGGGCTTGCGGGACATCTCTGTCAAACCTCCAGAGGGGATCTGAAATATAAATGAAGACATCAGCTTTACAGAAGTTCTAAGATAAACTTTGCACTCTGAATGGTACTTAATGGGGAAACAAAGGTAAATGTCGACCCATTTTAATGCAAAGTAACATAGGACTACTCTCAAGTGCATTACAGTCCAGTCTAAGATAATCTAATATTCATGTGTTTCAGTGATAATTGTAATGTGTATGAAATGTTGTCTTACTGCCATGCGGTGCTGTTTACGTAGCTCTTTTACTCTGAGCTGATCCAAAGTGGAGCCCACGTCTTTAACAGGCTGCTCCAAGTCCTCAGAGTAACGCTGGATCAGTGGCTGTGGAATGCCACATCGGCCGTGCTGTATGAAAAAAGCAAAGAGATACATCATGAGCTGAGGAAAGGAGGACACATTTTGACCAAAAGACACATTTAAAAAAATATATATATTAACTCAGAACCCAAAGAATCTATAGCCCCATTTACACTATCCTTTTGAAACCGTGCCGAGATCGGTCCGAGATAACTGTTGAGTGTAAATGGTACGCACAACTGAACCGGACTGCACCAGACACAACTGAACCGGGCAAACATGGTACTAGTTCATCAGTAGGGCTTGGCACGGTTCAGTTATGGCTCAGTTCTCAGACAAGAGCGCATGAGCAGGCCGCGTCATCACCTTACAGTCAGCCTCCGTAATCATGAACTTTAAGAGTGCCACACGATTTAAAGGGATAATTCTGCTTAGCAGTGTGATGAAACGCAAACGCACTTTTAACTGATCCAATCTTGGCACAGATCGGTTTTCAGAGGGTAGTGTAAATTGTGCTTATGAAACTGCCCAAACAAAATCCTACCACTTTTTTCATCATTAGAAATCACACCATTGACTATTCTTTGCAGTAGAAATTTGAACCTATTTCAGACCTTAAAGTGCTAAAGGACTGCCTTGCAATCACTTGATTGTGTGTCATTATTGAGTTAAGAGGACTGAGTTTACCTTCTGTTGTAATAAAAGAGTTGAACTGAGTTAGAAGAGAGGCCAAGAAAATTTAAAAAAGAAAACTGCTTTATGTTTTTTCGCCCCTGTTGTTAAAGGATAACAAGAAGGTTAAATGTCCTCAAGAAAAGCGGTTTTGTTTGGCATTTGAGACTGTGCATCCATTGTCAACAATATGAAAAAAGCTTTAAAAAAATTAAACATGATCTTTATAGAAATCTCTGTCTAAAGGTGAGGCTAACTGTGGCTAAATAAGATATCTTAAAAGTCAACTCTCATATTCTATGCCAGGGATGTCAAAGTCAAATACACCGAGGGCCAAAAAAACTAATTTGCTACAAGCTGAGGGCCAGACTGGTTAAATGTTTATTAAAACATATTGAATTGAACATAGCCTATTGAACCAATACCTAACACATTGTTTTTTTTTAAAACAAAGTATATCAATATTATTAATAAACTTGTATTACATTCATAAACTTATTAAGATAAATACATAAATAAAAGTGCATGCAATATAAACCGAAAATGCATTACTGTGCTGCTCTATGATCCTACCGATCACTGCTTTCAAATAGTAAAATAAGAAAAAAAAAAGAAAAAATAAATCTCTCTCTCATGGCTCTTATTTGCATTTGAGTCCATTCAACTGAAAAATATGAATAAATAAAATAAAAAACCAAAATCTATTGCACACAGACAAAACAAAACTTCCTTCAAAGAAAAATCACATCTTGTACAAAGAAATGTAAAAAATTTTGTGATGAATCATGGCAGTGGACCCAGAATTCAGCAGGATGTTCTTTAAAAAAGGAATTTATAAAAAAAAAAAATCAGAGCAATATCAAAAAGGAGTGAAGAATCATAAAGTCTACAGACTAAAGATTTCAGCAGAGGCTGATTCAAGCCAGAATAAAAGGAGTCTGGATGGAGGGAGGAGTGGAGCTGATCCTGCAGGTAAGAGACGGACACGCTGCTGAGTGAGGGGCAGATGGGATCCGCATGCCACGCACAGAATACTGGGAGGTGAACAGACAGCATAGACAGGGCAGAGGTCCGCGACTGTAAATAGCACTCTGTGTCGATCAGAGTATCGTTAGGATTCCACTTTCCTCTCACTCAGCAGCATGTCCGTCTCTATCACCTGCAGTGCGTCTCTATCGCCCCTTCCTCCATCCAGGCTCCTTTTATTTTGTCTTCAATCAAAAAAATTTAAATGACAGAAAAACACAATCAGGTTTTCCCCGCTGCATTGTGGGGAATGCAGTGTTGGTGCGGTAGATTCCCCACAATGCAACGGTAGCCCACGAATTCACAGCAGCACCCACAAGCAGCCGTGGCCTGTTGGCCGGTTCTAATGGTAATTAAATATCTTCCAAGGGGGCGTGGATAAAACTTGACTTTGATATATGTGTTCTATGCCATTTCAAAAATGCAATAAACACTGGCTTTCTTTAGAGAACATATTTGAATGGTGTCACATATTAAACTTATAGGAATAAATCTAAGAAGTGTTCCTGTCAGTGTCTAATCCTTAACTTTAGGGCTTAACATTGGTTAAGGTTAAAGATAAAAAAAAAGAAAAGACATATGAAAGCATGACCTTGCTCTGGGTGTCTATATAAATTCATTTTATTTTTCAGCATTTTTTTAAGTTGGATTCTATGTTGTAAATATTTCACAGTGACATAAAACAAAAGCAAGCCTCTTAACTTTGGGCCTTTTCACTGCTGATAAAGCGTAATCCAGCAGAGCTGTTCTCAGCTCCAGGGCCATATTTCACACCTCATCCCTAGATGCCCCAGTCTGTTTGAATCTGTGTTTGTTTTTCTGCCAGTGTTAGGGCTTCCAATATTTCTCAGGGGCTGAGCCTGGGGTCTGGTAAGAGCCAGAAGTTTTTACGACCCCGTCTGCCTTCAGTAAATAGGGCCCATAAACTTAACAGTGTGAACCGCATCACAGATAGGGCAAAAGCCACGATTTTTGCTTCTCAGCGCTGGGCAGCGCCTTTATCTTTATCTAGCACACATACTGTACAACCTCACAGCAAGTAAATGGCCAGACATCACAAAGTATCTAACAAAAAAGAAACACACAGGCTTTAAATTGAGCTTTAAGCTGCATTATTGAGCTGCATCTTATTAGCATAAAGCATATAACAATTTGGAGGAGAGTTGTAGTTAAATTATGACTCAGTTAAGCCCTCAGGGTTCTAAAAACAGATTGAGACCTGACAAGTACAGCCTAGAAGTGTGTTGGAGCACAACTTTTCATATAAAGTGTGACTGGGTCCATCTACATAATTAATTCAATAATGAGTTTTACTTAAACTAAACTAATCCAAGAACATATTTTACTTTGCATTTAAATGGTAACTATTTGCTTTAGCTTATATTATGCCAGCTCGTAAAGCTGTTTATTCTCTTAAGAATATTTAATAGATTGAAACATGATAGTATAATAAGCTGAATTTATTTCTTCCTTCAGCAAACACAGAATTAAAGATGTTAAGCCGACCAATTTTAAACTTACGTATCAATGGTGCAGTTTGGTTGTCAGAATTTTTCCGTTCCTGTTATGAAACTCAACAAGAATTCCTCCCAAAATTGTGGGGCTGAAAAGTTTCCCCATTATGCCTAAGATCAGTCACCAATACGGCTACTGTGCACACAAAAAAGTGAAAAGTTCACTTTGGATGGGTGGTATCCCATGATGCCAGTGTCATAGGATCGTTGAGTATTTTGCTTCTTTATTGACTCATGTAAGTTAACGGCACACATCTGTTTTCTGACTTGCAACGATAAATCGTCAGATTATGCAACGTAATTCCAAGATTTAAGCTTCAGCTCCGTACAAACAATTGCTGCATATTTAATTTTTAAGTCTACATTCTTAGTAAGAAATCAAGGGCTCTCTCTGACCATTCTTGACTCTAATGTTTCACATAAAAATATATTAGCTAATGAGGAAGTGAAATGTAAAACCGGTGTGTAAAATGTCCGATTAACAGTATTTGTCTGTATAAACTTTTATAAGTTGATATTCTAAATTTGTATTTGCTGTGTAGTTCCTCTTACCTTGTCAGAGTAAGGCTCCTCTGTCAGATCAATGCCCTCCGCTTGCAGGCGTTGCTCCAGAAGGGTGTGCAGATCAGGACTCATCTTGGTGTGGGACAGTTTCCTCGTCACAGCCATTTTACCTCCAAGATCTGAGAGCCAGGGTGGCTGCACTGCTGGTGGGGAGCCAGGTTCTTCACCTAAGGATGATGCAGATGAGGTGGCACACGGACTGGGAGGTGGGCTGAAGGTCTTGGCAGGGAGAGCAGGGGCACTGAGGATGGGGCTTGGGCTATTGCTGCGGATCAACGGGCTGCTTGGTTGGGAGCGATTTAGGGAGTGTGTAGGCGAGGCGGTGGGGGAAGGCGAGGAGGGCAGGGAGAGAGACGGGTGACGAGCACCATTCACAAGTCTTTCTCTGGACTTTTTGGCGGGAACAGGAGGTGGAATGGGAGGTTTTTTGGGATGTGTCAGGATGATCCTCTCACCACTTGCACTAGAATCAGGAGGACTTGGAGTTGGACTGGAGAGCGGTTCTGGAAGTTTAGGGGATTGGACTGTTGGACACTGGGAACGGAGAGGAAGCTGGGAGGGTATTGGAGGTCTGTCAGCCCTTCCTTTAGGACTTACTGTTGGAGTTCCTTTCTTGGTTGGAGAACTCCCTTCTCTATAAACCTTGACCTGGCTGTTGTTGCCAGATTTGGCCACCTCCTTTGCTTTTATAAGCACCACATTCTGATCATCTTTCTGCTTGGGGCTGTGCAGATCTCCCAGAGAATGAGAACGCTTCCAGAGCAGAGATGGCTGCTCTGGGCCATCAAGGTCCTCACAGCTGCGGCTAGCTGGGATGGGGGACCGTCGGTGGTATTTACGGAATCCCAGCAAGTTTAAGCTTTTCATGGAGGGCTTGATGAACAGGCTTTTAGGGAACTTGGAACGCTGGTTTTTGCCATTTTGTTGCAGAGCCTCTGTAGAAAGAGTCATAGGTAGTGTCGGGTAGTCTGAAGACTGCATTCCAGCAGAAGAGCGACTGGATCGGGATGCTTTTCTGTTTTTGCCTGCAAAATAAAAGTCCTTTCTTAAAAGTGATGCTCACACCCACTTTAACTTTTTGGTTTTATTTTGAAAAATAATAAAGTTATGGACACTAAAATTCAATACACAAATTATTCTGATTGTGAACAAACCACTTTGTCTTCAAATCTAGGTTAAAAGTTTCGCAATTTAAAATTTTGATTTTAAATAAATGCAAAGATAATTAATTCAATTGCATTTTCAAGTATAGATTTTAATCTACCAAATAAAATCTAATCTAATCATTTTATTTTTTTGATGCAACATTATGAGTGATTTTTTTTCTGTCAGTCTTTCTAATCTAGTTAAAGTAATTGGTCATTGGTTAGCATTTCATGGTGCTCTTTAGAACAGATATAATCTTTGCATACATACAGAATATTTTTTATGCATTTCTACTGTGATTGTTTCATTTATATGTTTTTCATTTATCTCGACAATGTTGCTTTGAACTGTTGCTCATATTCTAGGGGTTTTAAACTTTATGGTAATCTATTAACTTTAGGTAATCTATTAAGGTAAACTTAATTTTTTCTTTAAAGAGACAAAAAATAAAACTATTGTAAATAATTACAAAATTTCCGGATTAAATAAAATAGTGACCATTTTAAATAGTTCTGCACACATACAGTATTTATTTATTCATAAATAAGTTTCATGGCACATTCAAAGAAAAAGTTGATGATTTATTCATCCTTTAATGGCCCTTTTGGCTCATTATATTATCATGACATTTTTATACTACTAATACTAATAATACTGTCTGAAAAAGTTGCTAGAAATACAATGTATTTATAACGGCATTTTTGCTTTCTTTCCTATGAATTTTTAGATAAAAAACTAAGCAAATGGTGTGTAAAAATGTAAGTGCAAATACTGCATAGTGGCTTAATATTATTTTACAAATTTAAATGCCAAAGTGGTTCAACATGATCATCATTTTCACTCGAGGCTTATCTCCAATCCACAGATAAATAAATAAAAAACGCTCATACTATCGCCACTGGGATTGGATGAGATTTTTGACACAAAGTCTTAAAAATGTATTCATTGCTGCCAAAACAGCAAGTTCCACATTAAGATACTCATATGGGACACTTTTAAAAAGTGGAACAAAAGGATGAAATAACTTACCACTTATCCTTATGCATACAGAGCGAAATGGATGGATGGAATGGAGAAAAACCACATCAATTTAAATAATGCCATGTGAGATATATAATCTTTAGGTAGCCCTCGGCATTTTGAAGTTAAATATAAATGTTTAGCTGCAGGGTTTATAAACAGTTTACCAACAGATTTTCCACAGCTGCATGACAAATTTGTTCCGTTATTTATGGCCATTAAAAAACGTTAGATCATACAGTTCAGTTTTTTTTTGTAACTTACACCAGAGAATAATCAGTGATAAAATTAACATTTAAATTCTGGCATTGCTGGTCATGTTTGATAAAAAAAAAAAAAAAAGGATCTTCTTTGAATACTCAATTCAATTCCAATTCTTGGCAAATTCTGTATATTAAAAAAAAAAATCAAAACATAAACAAAGCTAATAAACACCTTTGTAATTAGGATTAGCCCAGAAATAAAACATGTAAGCTAAAGAAAACTTTTTTGATAAAAAAGTTCAGGCCTCCAAAGTACTAGTGCTTTTTTAATTTTTCCAATGAAACACTTGATTATATGTAAATATTTATTCAAATTTAATAAATGATCAGACCAAATTTAAATCAACAACGCACAGCGAACTTGATTGGCTGAAACCAGACAGTATGGTGGCAAATTAGAAAAACTCAAAAAAAAAATGTTTCAACTGTTTTGCTTGAAACACAGGTTATATACTGCAGATATTGTCAATATTCACCTTGGAGGTCAGATGTGGGAAAAATCACACCACAGATGAATGCATTGTAGGGTTCTCAAAAGTATCGATGCTCAAAAAAGTATTGATACTAAAACATTGTATCCGGATACGATACTCATTTTTAAAAGTATCGATACAGTTCTACCACTAGTGGCACCTAAACAATCATTCATCTAAAGTGCAGAATAGAGGGAAATGCACTTTATGAACACTGTGTGATTGAATAATTCTGTCCACTTTTCATTTTCAGATTTTTTTTGTAACAAGTGCAGCTGCTGATAATTTTGGCTAGTGTCATTGTTATGTGTTAAGAGCATAGCAAAGGAAGGAAAACTTAATTTTCTTAGCTTTTTTTTAATCAACCTTGCTTAATATTGTGCACAGCATACAACCTCAAAAATTGTTCTTATTGTTTATTGTATTCATTTATTTATTTTTTATTTAATTTATTAATGAAAGTATTTCTGTTAAATTTTGGGGTCTTTGTTCTTATACTTGTGGTATCAAAGTATCGAATATTTTCCTGAGTATCGGTATCGAGTTGAAAATTTTAGTATCATGACAACCCTACTGCATTGTAACTGAAAGTGAAAACACCAGTGGAATTGGTTGTTGTGGTGTTAATTCCTAATAGCGAAACATGCTAATTACAGATTATTATGTTTTTTTCCCCTGTAGTTTGACATGAGAATATCTGTAAAAATGAGGATCAGAGACTGTAGAATGGCAAAACTTATATATAGAATAATATTTCAAATAATTTACATCTTTAGCAGCCATTTTAGAAGTTAAACTTTGCATAGCGCTGAGTTATACAAACTTTGATAACACGTCAAGAAGAGGAATGTTTTTGTAGAAGTTGTTGCAGAGAGAGGACTCAAGCAGCCCTTTCCATTAACTCAGAGGAGGCACAACAATAAAAAGAAAACCATATTATCTTCTCTTTGAAAATCTTTGTTACAAGGGTAGGAAATCTTCACTAAGATCGCCTTTTACTGAATGATTGAAGATTCTATTGGTATTAAAACAAACAAGACTTCAACAGTGACTTTTGGGAAAAATACAAAACAGAAGTCATATTCAGAGGTCTGATTTTTCCAGTTACCTTTCAGAAATATGAAAACGACCCTTTTTCCCCTGAAGGCAGTATTTCGGTCACTGGGCAGCCATGAGTTTCATGTCCAATATATCCATAGTATAAGTTTGTTTGTTTGACAGTTTGTATCCTTTGGTTTTTAAATGTAATATGGGAGGAAATAAATCGTAATATTGGTTTATCCTACTATTAAGGCAGCACCAAAAAAATAGCAAATCCCACTGGATTTTCAACTTGCAAGAATTATTTATAATATACATATTTTTTTCCACCATAATTGTCTAAAATCTGTATAAGCAGGTATAATATGAGATATGAATATTTCCCTTATTTTTGATTGGTGCATCTCTAAATTTAATTGGAAGAATAACCATATCATAAAATTAAAATAAGTGGATAAGTATAGCACAACTGAGGAAGACTGAACCTGCAGAAAGAGATGCAGAGTATGTAAAGAATGTTTATGAACAGCTTAGTTGCATGAAAAAGGAAATCAAACAGACAGAAAAAGAGGCAAAAAATAAGAAAAAAATTGCAGCACCACAGTCCCTTTTATTATTTTTATTGAGCAACTTCTTAGGTCTATGTTGTGGATTGCACAATTTACTGCTGCTTGTAAAAGACAGACATTAGAGATAGGGAAAAAAAAATAATAATAGAAAATAAAACTAGCATTTACACTGAAGCTGTAAAGAAACAGAAATGAGACAAGCAGAAGTTTGAGTCATGGAGCTGAGATAATGGATGCACTAAGTGATAGAAGGTGCCAGACGCAGAGAATAGTGTCCAGAAAAAAACATAACAAAACAAAAAATAAGACTCAATTTGTCTTTTATGATCACTTTTACAATCTGCATAATACTAAAGTTTCATCATTTTAGGCACATACAGTTCTGTGCAATATATATATGTATTCACCTATAAACACAAAAGTAGGTGAGTTTGATTACATCATAGCACTGATCTGAACCCCTTTGCACCATTTATCAACTTACAAGATTTAAAACTTGAAGTAAACAAACATTTTCTGACATCACTACACTGCAAGTTTTTTGTTAGCGTTTCTAACTGCCACGTCCTTACAGCCCTCAGCAGCAATATTCTATTCACGTTCATCTTCCTGATATCCACCTATGGAGCTGGTAGCCACATATGGGCCGGTAGGAAACACGTGTCCACAACTAGGCAGAGAGTTTGCCCTCATCAAAACAGTTCTGCATACTGGGCCAAGTCTCTCCCTCTGTGCTCCCAACATTGTTGGGTGGACTAGGCTTAGTGGTCTGAAGGCAGGTTCCCTCACAGCTACAACCGGACTTTGGCACTGACGGCACAGAACGCCTACAGGGTGGAAAGAGGGGTGAAGAAAGTGCAGTGAAAGCAAAAGAAAAGATTTATTTCTTTTAAGCACCCACACTGAGAGAGGTTAAAAAAAGCAAGCCTCAGGGATGAAGCTTATTTGGAGGAATGAAGTTATGCAAAAGCTTCGAAAGTAATGGAGCAGGAATGAAAAGAACTGAAAAAAGGGAATTAGTAAGGGTGTGACGAAGCTAACTTTAGTAATTCTTATCGGGTTGAAATAGCTGGACTAAGCAAAAGGGATCTTTACCATTTTCCAGATTTTCATTGCTCTCATAGCAGCCAGAATCCCTTGGGGAGTCCCCCACAAGACCTCGACCCTCTGACAGCAGCTTCTCCTGAGAACCTGACAACCCACTGCGCTCTGGATCACTGCTGCCTGAAAAGATAGGAAAATTCATCAAAATTCTCTGCAACAGAACAGAGCCTCACTGCAAAAACTATATAAAAATAAGTAAAAATTTCTTAAATTAAGTGTATTCACCCTAAATTTGAGTAGGTAAATGATACAGTTTGCCAATGGAATGAGTCATTTTACTCTTAAAATAAGATAATTGGATAAAATGCATTTGAAATAAGACAATGCAATTGTGTTTTCTTATTTTAAGTGTAAATTGTCTTGTTCCATTGGCAACATGTCTCTTTTACCTCCTCAATTCAAGAACAAATGCACTTATTTTAAGAAATAAATGACTTATCTAGATTTAGATTTTTTTGCAGTGCTGTATAATATTTAAACTTTTTCAGCTTATGGCAAAATACAAGCTCTATATTTGGCATCTTATTTGAATTACGTGAGATATAAAGCAAAGAAATACAGAACAGCAATGGAACATTCATTGAGTTTTTACTTTTTTTTTTTTATTTTAAATATCCCCCCCATGGATCAATAATTCATAGAACCATCGGTTAGTACAATTAGAGGTTCACATTTTTTTTGAAGGGCTTCTCCATTATCTTTGCCTTTCAAGGACATCTGACATTTTTTGTCCATTTCACCATTTAATAGATTAAAGCTCTGCCAGCCTCAATTAAGAGTGAGATGTTACGAATAAGATAAGGTGCTGGTCTGATTTTTCATATATCACTCTGCATTTTGAACATCACTGTCCTGTCCTTGATGAAAAACATCATCCCCATAGCATGATTTCACTGTTAATTAATGCTGTCCTCAATCTGACATCTATGTCTTCGTAGGTTTGCAGAATTCCCTTTAACTTTCCTTATTTTATGATGGAATACATGTGTTCAGTTTGAGATAATTATTTGAGATATTGTTTAAATTCTAACCATACTATTGTTTTCTTTACAACATGACCTGCTGTTTTTTCCTTGTTTTTGTCAATGCCATTGGTTTATTAATGTTTTTTTTAACCTCTGATGCCTTCACAGAACAGCTTTTTTTCCCCACACAGAGATTAAATTTCAAAGGTGAATTATTAATAAAGTGACTTTTCAACAAAATTATGGTTAGAATGGATTTAATTATCTGGTAGCAGAGTAAAGAAATACTGAAAAAAATATAGACAACATCCATGCATCTATCCATTTTTAAACATGCTTAATCCCAAGTGGGGTCGCGAGGGGTGCTGGTGCCTATCTCCAGCTGTCAGTGGGTGAGAGGCGGGGCACACCCTGGACAGGTCGCCAGTCAATCGCAGGGCAACACAGAGACAAACAACCATTCACTCACACCTAAAGAGAATTTTAGAGAAGCCAATTAACCTAACAGTCATGTTTTTGGACTGTGGGAGGAAGCCGGAGTACCCAGAGAAAACCCACGCATGCTCAGGGAGAACATGCAATATACACAACAATGTTTTTATATGTATTTATCTAATTATTAAGAGCTAAAACATGTATCTCATTGTTGACTGCAGTTTATTTCACAAACATCTTTGATTACGTTTTTCTTTTATAGATTCAACCTCAAGAGTAACATTTATAATACTAGGGTGATAAGCTTTAAATTATGTGCTTTTAATAAAGTAGGAAGGCCAAGTATTATTTACAGTAAATATAAACATATCCACTCAAACTAGCAAACATCAAGATGGACAAAGCAGAAGGTTGACAACTTTCTAAAACTGAAGAATCACCTATGTTCATTATTCTACTCACTGTCATACTCCTGCAGCAGCTCCACAGCCGTAAGCAGCACCGCTCTGTGCTGAGGATCTTTGATATTCAACTCATCCAAGTCTTCTTCTTCCAGCAGCTTAAATGTGTCCAAATCTTCATACCCATTGAACAGAAAAGTAGGCATGTGCTCCTGTGGAATATATATATGAAGTAGAAGGGATTAATATAAGAACTCAGGGTCAGGGTGTGAAAGGGAAGGAAATATGCGAAAAATACAATTTGAATCTAAGAAGAAAATGAGGTAAAATTAAAAAAAGAATACCCTTGCATTTAACTTGATAATCGATTCAAAGTAGCCCTTAGGCACTGTTTTATTTGACACAGCATTGTCAACATGGTTCACCACGTGTGCAGAGTCATCAGGCATCAAATCAAACCACATCCACTTTTGTTCTATAGTGCAAAACCGCACATTATCATGAGTCACTACAAAGATTGCATATCTCAAACTAAGTTTCAGGAAGAAAGGAAATTAGATCTTACCAGAGAAGAGATTAGACTTTATGGTCAGAAAAAAACATTAACCCTACTGAGTTTAAGAACTTAGTTGTTAATGTAAAGGAGTTAAACAAAATCCTACTGAATCCAGCACTAATAATTTCTTAGGAAACTTCAACCCATAGAATCATTTAAATAAACACACAAAAAAATAAGCTGGAACTGCTAAGTAATAAAATGCATACATGCTAGGAATGTGTTGCTGTAAACTGTTGTTTGAATTGAAAATTGAACCTATGAGCTTCAAGCATCTGGTTCTGACTGATTTCAATATGATGCTGTTATGAATTTCTAAGCAGTAGATTCGCAGCTTAGCCTCAGCAAGCTTTAATCTGCGGCTTGGCAATTGAGTTTGCTGTAGATGAAACCAGACAAAGCCACAGGAAGTCTCTGTTTCTATTTGGGGAACCGGAGGCCCGCAGGCTGCCTGGGTGGGAGGAGATGATAGTGAGCACGGAGCAATATGTAGGTTTGGCTAAAGAAGACACCAACCGCTTTACAGGAGTGCGGTTGTGCCAATGTGGGTGTTAATGTTTGTGAATCAGTGTCAAAGCAAACATTCTGAACAGTGTGGCCTGTAATTGGGTAAACTATATTTGCCTCACAGGCAATTTTGTCAGTAAAAATAGCTTTTAACTTAAAAAATATGCATTAAGTATAGAATAGCCTAAATATGTCTAATTAAATAATTCTCTTCCATTTGTGGAACCCCACCTTGAGGTTTATCCGCTCCAGCAGCTCCTCCACTGATGTGGGTTTGGGGGGTCGGCCCTTCCTCCTCCTCCTGACAGGCCTTTTAGGCTTCTCCTCTTCCTCATTCAGCACGTCCACATAGATGAACTTGAAGGTGCCCACTTTGTTGTTGAGGAGTCCCATCCATGTTCCCATCGGCGGCTTACTGATGATATCGATCACATCCCCTCTCTGAATACATGGAACAGAGAAGAAAACAGTTTCTTGAAAATAGTACTTTGATTTAAGTTTTTTGTAGTAAATTGAAGAGCAACACATTTATATTTAAGAAAAACAAACACACAACAAAAAAAACACTTAATGAAAGTTGGGTTCTATTCAGGTCGTGGTGATTTTAGCCTTTTAGTTGTTTTATATGTCTGCAATGGTATGTTTTGAATAAACTATACTCCTTGGTGCTTTAACAACCAATTACTTAACCTTTAAACATCAGCTAGGTTAACTAAAAGCATATGTGGATATTTGACTCTTATAAAATAACAACAGGAGGACTCCCACATATTGCTTTGATCAGTTCAAAATGGGACTTTGGACCCATTATAAATAAATTGAAACAGGAGATCAGAAAAAGGCTTAAAAAATGTATACACTTAAACAAAATTATATTTTAGATTCAATACTTTTGATAAATATATACATAAATATTAGGAAAACACTTAATAACTTAATAATGCAAAAAAAGTTTAAGTCTTAAGCCTAAAATGTAGGTAGATACTCATTATGTAGGTGGTGCGTCTCCCCTCAAATGGAATCAGGAAGTGAATAAAAAAAGACAATGAATGAATTTCTGAAAGAGACTTTCTGTTCTTGATCTTTCAAAGATAAAAATACCCTTTTAGTTAGAAAGCATCCAAATGTTTTGATGTCACAATTTCTTTAGGTATTACGAATAAATTACAAAAAACAATGATAAATAAAAAGAATATACAAAAATAGTAAATTCCCCCTCATGCATTATAAGATGCTTAACATGAAATGCAGGTAAACAATCTGTAAGGGGTACAAAAACTAAATAAGCCCCTAACAATAGATATACCAATATAAGCTACAACTGTATAATATCACTGTGGAATTGTCTGAAACTGTGGATATGAAGCTTTTTAAAAAAGAAGATATAAGTATATTTGTTGCTGTTGGCAATATTTTCTATCCCTGGAGATATGAGGGTTAAAACAGAGTTAAAGTTGAGAAAGAGTAATTTAACAAGATGATATGGATGCATCCTAAAGGAAGAGAAAGTATCTCTACCTTCAGTTTAAGGGAGTCGGTGTCATAGGGGCTGGGAGTGAAGTCTGTGTGAACTCGAGCGCGGCCGCAGAACGGCCCCCTGTAAGGCGGCTCTTCGTCGTCTCCGTCCTCTGACTTCACGCTCTCTCTGTTGCTGGCCGATGAGTCGGTGGTGCTCACTGTCTGACCACCTGGAGACAAGCATACACAAGTACTGTATAAACATTTAAGTTATGATAAACCTGCTCCTTTTTATACAAAAAAAAAATTCTTCTAAAAACACTTAACTGTAGAATCGTGTTCATACATAAACATTGTGAACTCTGACTAAAACCCTCTTCCAAACATTATCTTGTATCATAAAATGCAAGTGTCAAGAGGCTTCAAAAAGACAGGGTGGAAGTTATCATTATTTCAAACAGCTCCTATTTTTTACTCCATTTCTGTCTGTGGTGGGGAAACCAGAAAGAAAAGTTCCTATCAAAATAACAGCTGTAAGCACAACGTGCTGACAGTCTGCACAGAAAAAAAAAAAGATGGAGGGCTTTATATAGTGACTATGATAAAGTTTGAATTCTAAGTCATATATATTTCCATATTGTAATATATCACCCATCCTATAGAGTGGGTTAATGAAACTAATTTCTTTTAATCTAACCCTGGAACTATCATTTATGGTAATGGATAAAAAAAAAAAAAAAAGAAGATATTTCTCACTCATTGAACTCTGGCCGCTGAGTGAACTGCGCAGGCTTTCCACCGAGCCTCCGGCCTTTAGTTTTGGTTTCTCCAAGGAGTCGGTGTCTGGAAGAGGAGACTGTGGCGAACCAGGGGCTCCGTCAGGACTGGACTATAAGATGGAAATGAAGGAAGGGGAATGAAGATTCGGGAATAGTAGAAAACACAAGAGAACAGGGAAAAAAAGAGAGAGAGCTGAGTGACTGAGAGGTTAAAAACATTAGGGAAAAGTCTTCCCAAACTGCTTTTATAGGAATTTGACAATAAAACATTCGAAATAACTTAAATAAGGTTCGTAATTGGATGCTTATTAACATTAAACTGAGCCCCAAGATACTGGAATATGTTGCACATGTTTAGGTAATCCAATAGATGGCACTGTGTTCTACTAAATGGCTGCAACACATTGACAAAAAGCAGTGAAAATTTACATTTCAGGCCTTCCAGGGAAGCCAAACTGTGTATCATTTGTCTTAGTGGTAATGAAAATACGACAAGGATAAATTCCTAGGTGCATTATAATGTCTTAAAGATCGACTGCTTGGCATATTGTAATGTATTTTGCCAAGGTGATAAATGTATGACATCGTTCTTCATACAGAAAAGGAGCTTTTTGCATTATAATATATGTTCTACCTGTTAAATGAGAATACATAAAAGTACTTTTTAATCAGATTTATTTCCTTATTCATTTACTACATAGGTTACCAGTGAAATAAAAATTTTTCTTACTTGGTAATAAATATATCCACAATAAATAGGCACAGAAAGGTTATTTTGCTGTTATTTAACCAACATTATTTAGAATACAGTGGCAACTTAATTTCCTTGATTTTTACCTTGCTAAATGTGTTACAACTAGCGCTGAAATCGGATTATTCGTGGATAATCAATTATTGAAATATTCAACAACTAATTCAGCATTCGATTAAATGTTAGATGAAGTATAAAGACTGTAAATTATGCTTCTAGCCCATTTATAGCACTAATTATATTTTAAGTTGTAAAAAAAAGATATACCGTATTTTCACGACTATAAGGCGCACTTAAACGTCTTTTTTTTTCCTCAAAATGTGCGGTGCGCCCTATGGTGCGGTGCGCCCTATGTGTGTTGTAACTGCGACTTTTGAGACCACCTCATTGAGGAGATGATGAAAGAGTGGCTGAATGTAAGGAGACCAGGTGTTTTTTTTCCACTCATCACCATTAATCTGTAACTCCATGCGTGCCCATCTCACAGCTGATGTGAAAAACATGGGGAAACAAATTAACGCTGTGCTCGCTGTTCAACCGCTTGACATCGGTGTGAACCGGACCCAGCAGGTGCAGCAGAAGCAGCGAGTTTACATGCAAAGTCAATGGTTGACGCGCATATAGGTGCAGCAAAAGGTCCCGCAGCGCGTTTTGGTGCAGCACGTCGGGAGCGTTTAAGCATCTGATGCACCGCCAACGCGCTGCTGCTGCTCAGATGGAAAAATTGAAGTTTTGCTGCTGGACGCGCCGCATCAACCAATCAGAGAAGCTGATCTGGGAGCTGACAGCGAGACAGACAGCGCTCTGATGACATATGATATTAACGCAAATGAAAAGGCTGGGTGGATGCGTGGCTGAGACAGGTGTATGTGAGAAGACTAGGTGGTTTTTTCCACGCATCACCATCGCTGCGTGCCCATCTCACAGCCGATGTGAAAAAAAGATGAATCAAATGAACGCTGTGCTCGCCGTTATCCCGGGGGGTCTGACAAAGGAACTTCCACCGCTCGACATCGGTGTGAAGCGGCCGTTCACAGTAAGGCTGCGAGCGGCGTGGGAGCGATGGATGACAGACGGAGACCACAGTTTCATGATAAATGGAAGGCAGCGCCGGGCAAGTTACGCCACCGTTTGCGGATGGATTGTAGATGGACTGTGTCTGCTGGCTCTGTTGTTCAAGCTTTCGCAAAAGCCGGCATTATTTCTGAGGAGCTGCGCTGCACGGAAAGTGACTCTGACAGCGAAGAAGGGGAAACTGGCATGTCTGATTTAGCGCAGCTGTTTTATTCAGAGGAATGCTGAGGATAACAGAGGATGATGACTTTGATGGGTTTGATTAATACTTTGTAATAAATACATGAATAAAGCACAATCATACTCAGTTTTGCTCCCGCTGTATTTTTAAATACGCAGTAGAGGTATTTAAAGGTAGTAGAGGACATGTACCTGTATATAAAAAACGCGCCCTATAGTCCGGTGCGCCTTATGTGTGTGTTAAATACAGAAATGGGACACATAACTGAGAGTGCGCCTTTTAGTCCGGTGCGCCTTATGGTCGTGAAAATACGGTAAAAATTTTGTATTTAAGATTAAAAACTTTTTTTAGCTGTCATTATGCTCTATCCAGAACCCCTCAAATGGAAAAGTTTTAGTTTCACCTCGTTTAATTTTGTAAAAAGTCTTCTTTAAGGAAGCTTTTGCTATCCGATTATTAATCGATTAATCGAAAAAATAATAGACAGATTAATTGATAGGCAAAATAATGGTTCGTTGCAGCCCTAGTTACAATGCACAGATGTCAGAAGTTTGCACAGCTTATGAGCCTAAGAGCCGCAAATTTCCCCCTAAAAATTGGTCCAGAGCAAGAGATGGCCTGTATATACTTATGAGTTCCAAGGAAGAGAGTGAGCCCATGGGGCAGTTACAGTACTATGTCAGCTCAACATGGATAAACACTCTCCACCCAACAGACATGGTCCAAGAACAGCAGAGCAGGAAGAGAAATCAAAATCTCTTCCTTTTTGTTTGGTGTCTAGTGCAAATATTTCCACCCACTCACTGCCTGTAGACAGAACATGTGGCTTTCACTACAAACATGATCCACGTTTGCTGAACTTGGATGGATACAACATAAACCACGATTTTTTCACCTGCTTCATGTCAAATAAATCTTTGTTCCAGTTCTTATAAGGGTTTAAATGTGATTTAGTTTCACTCAAAACAAAAAGCAGCTATAATAATAATGTTTGAATATGGATATTTGTGTCTGGGTCGGTCTTTCTAACCTGCTCAGACAGCGAGTTGCTGTACTTTTTCGACATGCGTTTCCTCATGGTCTCCTTCACCGACTTTACTTTCTTGCCCAGGGAGATCCGAGTGGTGTTGGGAGATTTCACCACTTCTCTGTATAATGCCTCCTGTTCCTTATTCTGCCATTTTAGGGAGAAAAAAAAAAAAGAAAGTAAGATGATGAACATGGAGTGGAAAAAAGATGGAAATTACATGGGGGTTGGGTGGGGGGGGGCGGAATCAAGGGCAGGATGGGTCAAAACCGGGGATAATTCATTGCGACAGGGGAATTCAGCTTGTGCTCCAGCTCTTACATTGGCTTCGGAGGCTGCGTTGACCACATGGAGAGAACGGTTGGACAGGTCGAAGCCCCCGAAGCTGCATGTTCTCTGTGTGGGGGGAGCCAAAGCACAATCAAATGAGTCATGCTCAAGAAGGTCACGTTATAGAAGGCACACCCAACCAAACTGCACACAATGACTCATGCCTTGCTTGAACACAGGCAGTAGTTGGGATAATGAACGTGGCTGTATGGCTTGTATGTAAGTGGCATGATGTCATACGAGACTAAAGACAGGCAACAGACATGATGTAACAGAGTAATGTATAAACTCCTATTTAAAAGTATGGGTAACAAGCACGATGGGGTGCAAAGATGCATTTAGAAGTTTGCTCCTTCAAGGCTTTAAAACTTCAAGGAAGGTGCCAGGCTGAAGTTTTTCTATGTGGTAAAAACATAATAAACTATTAAACTGTTGAACTAACAAATGCTTTTTTATTTTTAATTTGCTAATCTGCATATTAGTTGAGCAGATTCGAAGTACTGTAGGTGACAGCATAATGACTGTTTTATAATAAAACTATCTGAGGTGTCTAAGGACACACCAAGAATTCTGCTGATGAGAGACCGCAATACAATTTTTTCGTGATTGGCTCTGATTAATGATCAAGCTAATCGCTCTAAAGTACCAATAGATCACACAGATACTTTAATAAAGTTGACTACTCTATCTAACACAAGGCTGCTTTTCTAATAGAAATAGTTCATACATTAAAAAAGAAAACTATGGCTCCTTTGTAGTTGAATACATTAAAGCAGAATCTTAAAGAAAATAATTGAATATCTCATTGTGTTGTGCATTTATAATTATTATCATTAAGAATTTTCATGCTTTTGCAGATTTTTTTATGATGCGTTGACAGAAAGTGGTGTAAATTGAGGCTGTTTTTTTATTTATTAAAAGTAAGAGTTTTTCAAGAAAATTTAGATATTTCATAATCAGTAATGGCAACTAAAACTGGCCCAAAATTAATTTTATTATGTGCATCTCATCGTTTTTCTCCGAATAAGACACCATAAGCGAAATAGGAGTAAACACAAGGGGAGTGGGTAATGGTATGAAAGAAAACCGGATTGGACTTTATGATGTTACACACAAAAAATAAAAAAAAAGACAGTTATAAAGGATTTGAGCAAGGGGTTGCGATGATGGTATTTATTCTTTTACTGTCCTTTGTAAAATAACTTCACTGAGAGTTTAGACAATCCTCGAAAAAACAAACAATCCCCAACTGAGACAGCCCTGCACATCGACAAGCTGTTGTTGCATCAGATGTCCACAGCTGCAGCCTACATCACCGCTAGGGAGCAAAAGCAGTTTGGAGAACAAAAATGTGTAACAAAAAAAAAAAAAAAAAAAGGTGATGGTAACGTTTGATGGAATGGACATGCACCCAGATAAAAACGTCTTCCAGAAAAAAACAAGAAAAATATATATATAAGGAACAAAAAAAACAAAAAAAGCAACATCTGCAGTTGAGGCACGAGCCACAAAAAAAAAAGATAAAAAGCCACGACAAAAAAAGTGGATTCAGAGAGTATCTGGATGAGAGCGATCTCCAGTGACTTCACTAGAACATGACAGGCTTCAGGTACTCTCAAAGCTGCAGGATAGCTCTGTACAACCACCCACTCCTCCTCTTTCTGCCTCTTCTTCTGTTGGAGTGCTGAGGCTATGGATGAGACTATTTTCATCCAAAACCTTATTACTCCCATTTGCAACCCCTGCAGGATAAAATGTTCCTTCTTATCTGTCTTTTGATGCTATATTTGGCTTTAAAAACTAATGGGCATAAAAGGCTGTTCGGTTGCTGAATCTGAATGAAGGTCCTTCAGTGGATCAGTCTTTGAGTGTGAGGTTTTGAGCCACACAGCATTTTAGGATGAGCAGCATGGAGCATGTACATCTCATACACCCACAGGGATCAGTGATAGGGTACGATTCTTCAGGGAGCTGACATTTATAAAAGGCACATATGAAATTTTACCCCCAAAATGGGACACGACACATTAAGGAGTCATTTTATATTCATCTGAAATATAAAGGATGGAAGCTTAAGCTCTTCACTTAAAGGTCAAAGGATAAGCCATTTCCCCAAAGGATACAGGGCGCTGTGAAGGAATTCACCCTGCAATTTCATCACCCTACTCTTGTGGTCATTACCACCAAAATCATGTTAAATCCTAATTTTTACGATTCGGATGAACTGATTGAGGATAACTAAGGAGTAAAACGAAAATGATCACCAACACAATTACATTTATCGTTCCAAATACAATTCTAATTAAAAAATGTGGCATATATTTAGTCTAGCTGGGTCAAAAGGTAAATTGCTGCAATTGCAATACACGATGCAGAGTTTCACCTTGGGGATGTTATATTCAGACAGTGTTTTGTATAAGTCATACATTTTATTTTATTATGTTATGTGACATTCTTGTACGTTCTTGTTTGCTGTTGCCCCTGCTTGCGATGGCATAAACTCTAACATTTTTCGATATTTGCTATTATTTAGCAAAGTAAGTATATAGCTGGGTGTGAAACGGATGCACAGTAATTTTTTAGGTACTTGTTTGTGTGTTGTTTTGATAAATTTGCATAATTTTCTTTCCCTTCAAAATTATATTCCACTCTCTTTTGTTAAATTAAATAAAGTCTTACGGAATAAAATAGATGTTTAGGATAAAAACATAAAAATGGGAAAAAGTTTAAGCTGATAGATGCTTGAAGGCAGTGAAAGACATTGATGCTTCAAGTTCTTAAGAAGTTTAGTTGCCTATTTTTTTCACAGCCGGAAAATGTTCTTGTGTTAAATATAATCCCAGCCCTCTGAGCTATTCTGCAACTTTGAAGTACCAGGTCCTGCTCACACGCGGCGGCCGACTGAAACCTCATGGTCCACACTCACAGACTTCTGCTGGATTCGCAACAGCACACGCTTGGTGCAGCGGTCCACACTGGCCGCCCATTTCCTGTCCACCTCGCGGTCCTCCTCAAGCAGACAGCGGCGCTCAGCGCGGCTGAGGGTGACTGGACGCACCAGCTGGGCCCAGTTCAGGTGACCGTACAGGCTTCGCTCTACAACGTAGGTGATGTTCAACTCGCTGACCGCAGTTCGGCCTCGCAGTCGCCGGGGAGGGAACGCCCAGCCCCCGCCTCCGCTTCCGAAACCCTTTGACTTTGTTAGGTCACAACGGATGGGTGAGGAGGGGGTGACAGACAAGGGGGAGATGGGGGACTTGGCACTGCGTGAGCGCTGGTACAAAAGGTGTTTGGTGGAGTAAGCGTAGTTGGGGTCGGGTTTCCGGTGGGTCCAGCTACCAAGATGGCGGTTAGATGGTTGATGTCTGGGACTGCCTTGCTGGCCGTCCTCCAGGGAAATCAGAAGGCGGGACTGGGAATTGGGTTTGGGGCGAGGTTTGGTGAGGCCGTAAAAGGCGTAAAGGGCTTCGTTGTTACTTACCCCGTGGGATATGGAGCTTAGTGCCTTCATCATCTCGCTTTCTGTCGTGGAGCGTGAGAGCTTTCCCTCATCGTCAAGACCACATCCATCAAGCTCTGAGAAGGAAGAGCCACTGCCTGCAACACCAGAGATCGAGCCGGCTGCAGTTCTCCTCGGGGGTCTGATGAGGCCGTGGTTGCTGGAAGACTTACTAAAGGTTTTCACTAGTTTGTGTCCAGACCAGGTGTCGAGACTGCTGGATGAAGGGGAAGTAGTCAAACTGTCTGTATCTCCATCCAAGGAGAGTTGGTCATGGATAAGAGAAGGAAGGGAGGCCTCCTGGGGCAAAGGGGGTCTTTTTAGAACCCCTGTATACAGAGCTGCGTTGTCCTCACAGCAGGGAGTTTCCAGATTCAGAAAATCTAAACGGAACAAAAGATTAATGCAACTTAACAAATTAAAAGGCAAAAGAGAACAAAGGATGAGCTGAACGTAGGAAAATAAAAGCTTTTCTTTAAAAACGGAAGTCACAGACCTTCAGGGGAATGTTTCTTGCCCTCTTCTACTTTGATGAGCTTCTTCCTGACTCGCCGTGTTGAGTTGACCAATTTGTGAAGCCTTTTGAACTTCACCGAGTCCTCAGATTGCTCATCATCCGACTGTTGACGAGACTGGTGGAAAAAATAATAAGATTATGATCAAATAATAATAACTAACTTAAAATCGTTTTGTATTTATTAAACTATATATATAAAAAAAAGGAAATCAACACATTGAAACACATTAGCGTTTTGAGGATGAGGTTATTATGCAACAAGGATGGAAGTTCTGTTTAGGATGGCAACAAAGTTAGTGAGGCGAAAGATTGAAAGAGATGGATGTGAGCCCACTGCATTGTGCAAATGTCTAGTTCCTAAGAAACCCAGAATGAGTTTCATGGGAATTTCTTAAACATTTAAACAATTAAGATTTTGATCTCTAAAGGAAACTTCTTCACAAGCAGCTGTCGTAAAAACACAGACACACACACACAAGCACAGCTTCTCCCAGAGCTGCATTTTATTCTTCCACTCTCGTTGTTTGGGGATAAGTGAGACATTTGGATGTAAATTTATTTTGTGTTTGTTGCTTGCTGGTTTCCAAAGTAACATCTCCACACCGATCCCACACACACATCCAGCTCTTCAGTGAATTTTGCATGATCGAACTTGCAGGAATGTAAAACCTTAAATCATTTCACGGTCATTAAATTTAAAAAGTTTAGAGGATGCTTTCTACAAAGAAAATCATGTTTCTTTGTTAATATAAGGGCAAAACGGTGGTCAAGTCAGTGCTGTGCCTTTTTCTATGATGTTCTTACAATTTTTAGAAGCTAAAGATAATTTCATCGTATAGAGTTTAGTAAACCCACTGTGGCCCCTCTCTCACCTGTTGCCACACACTATAAATCAGCTTACTGTGTAAAGACTCATTCAACTTTCTGTAAAATATGGGCCCTGATAGTGTGATTACTAAGAGAGAAATACTCAAAGCCTTTATTAAGGTAAAGGTTGTCTTAAAATTTCAGTTAGAAAAAAAATATAATTCTGTCAAAATGCTAATAGGCAGCTGATTGCAGGCTGTGTGTTGGAGCCAACAGCTTTACTAATTCACAAGCTTCTATCAAACTCCAAAATGCACCTGTGTTACTTGATGTCAAACATTATAAAATATTGTCAAAAAGAGACTAAAAAACCGCAAAGGTTTGCAGTGGATGGTTTTATATCAGCACCTATTTAATAGATTAAATATATATATATAAATACTAATAAAGATAACATTATTCTGACTTAAATAAGCAATATTAATTAAAAAGTTTTTGAAACACTTTATTTGTCGCAAGGTGCACTGAAGAATCTTATATTCATCAGAAGGTCAATAATCAAAAACTATTTTTTACTGCATAAATGCACCATAAAATGATGCACTAGTGTACCATCACCAACACTCTGCAGAGCAGAAGATTCTGATAAGTTATATGACTCAAAAGTTATTGAAGTCATATCTTATATCTCCCTGGATCTCTAAATAAAAGAAAAATCTAGTAAAATTGTCAGAGGCACTTAGTCTTTCTACAACTCAAGTTCAGAGATGTTGCCTTTTGCTAAGTTAGTATAACTGATTTGTTTTCTCATTTGTTCTCCTTTCCTATTTTTATTTAGCTTTTTAATACTAAAGGTGTGCTGAATATTTACCTAGGTTATGTGAACATTTCTTACCAGCCAATCCCTGGTAACAAACCTATATGCTTTGAATCAATAACATTCTAATTAATACTGCCAAAACAGTTAATCATTCTAACAACATGACATTTGGTTGCCTGTAGTTGTGAAAACTACATTTTACAAATCTGAAAAAAGTCAGTTTATAAAGTCTGTACTTAAAAAAAAAAAAACAACATAATTTTCCCTGGAAATTCACTCATTAGATTTTGTATAAACAGATGTTAAGTTGAGACTGAAAATGGCCAGCAGACAAGAACAAAAATACTCCAGTAATTCATTCAGGCTTCTGTCAGACCTGCAGAAATCCATAACTCCACTGAGCATTCAAACCAGACAGTCCTCCATCGGAACAATTCTGACCACTCTGCTGACTCCTCAAATTTCACCAAATATCACATAGAGAAATTGAAAAAGTCCAAAAAGGCTTTCAGTTTTGCAGAGCAAAAAGCTTTAAGGTAAACCCAAGTTTTCATTGGATGAGGACTGTAAAATGGGTCACAATAAACCTCTCAGCTCAGATTTAAGCAAGTCATCCATGCAAATGACTAGATAATCAGGTGGAGAGAGAATCCCACAAAAAGTCAGTAAATTATATGGGGCCATGAATCAAGCAGTGCTAAAAGGCTATTGTAAACAAAGTCCAAGTAGGAATTCCTTATCCACCACTTCAGGCTTGCTTCACTAACTCCAGTACGGTTTGCTCACAAACTTTGTAAGTAATTTCCAAAACTTTGTTTTGTACAACAACTTTAATTGCAATAATATACACTATATGCATAAAAACTTACCACCTCACCAATGAAGGCAGGGTTCTGCTTTCTTTGATCAAATCCCTCAGTTTAACAAGAGCAGAACAAGTAAATCCATCCAAACTGACCACACCATCATGCATCTATAATCATATCTGCACGCCTGTTTGCATGCTAGCAGATGGAGCCTTTGCAGTGAGTTCACAAGAGAGGAATGAGGGACTGTTCTAAAGCACTGTGCTGCACAGCTAGCAGAGAAAAGGCGTGTTGTGCATGGAGAACAATCCCAGCGTTTGAGCCCCTCTGACCCTGCCTTGGCCCCAAAATCGCTAATGGCCAGCCCTGGAATGTTGGGCTCAGATTGGTGCGAGTGGTGAAATCAGACAAAAGGGCAGAAAACTGCAAACATGTCAACTTCAAACGTGAGTTTCTGGAAAAAGACTGCAGGCCTTTAGAAGATGAGTAGGGCTGTTGACTGTATGGATTTGGGATTGACCTAAATCTGTATCTGGAAAGAAGAATGGGCATGAACAGAAGCCACATCCGAGAGGAAATATTTCCTGAAGCGGACAATTTTAGAACTTAAGGCTATATGAAATTTAGCAGAGTTCCCCAATTTTTCAGGCCTCTGGGACAAGTATAAAGTGTTTATCCTCTCCTTCCAAAACACCCTAGCTTCCTCCCTGCCTCCAGCACTTGCCTTTGGAGTCAAAGTGTGTGTTCCTACACAATACGCCTTCAGTATAACTCTCCAACCCCCCACACAAGTCTATAAAATCCCAAATCGATCTATCTTCCTCCAACAGGAAGTCAGTGGCGAGGTTCAGCTGACTAATTAATGCGATCAGAACACTCATACACAATTCAAGCAGTCACATCAAAGAGCCAGAGAGCACATAGGACCTGGGCTTAGTTTATGAATGCAATAACTGACCTACTTTTTAAAGTGGAAGGAAATCATCAATCATGACCCAGAAGAATATTTGAATCTTTAAAGAACATTAAAAAGAGCTGTTTTGCATGAATGTAGCTAAATAATCAGTTTTATATGCATCAGATAATTATGAATAAGGGTCTTAGAAGGAATTTAAAGTTAAAGAAGTCAAACAAATAGGTCACCTAGATTGAGAAAGAAAGAAATTAAGTTCCTCTTTGAGTGGACATTTTATCCATCTAATAGCTTTGAGGTCATGTTTTACTTCATATTAATTATCAGTAAACATTTTTTAACTGTGGAGACTGTGTCTGGAAGTAGGGACTGTTTAATTAAAATTCTGCACAGGAATATTGCAACACAATACAGCAGGCAGATATTTTTAGCAAACTTGGGAATGTTTGATGTTGTGATAAGACTGGCTCCCTAAAATAGAAAATGGGTCATTTTATGAGATTGTCTGGCTGAAAAACAGCCCCATGAGAAACATTACATCAAATAACATTCACACTCAAGTACTCAGCCTCCCACAAAATTCTTTACATTTTGATATAATTTAATCACAAATATCTTAGCAGGCCAACATAACTCTGGAACTCTCTACCAGCCTTACATAGAAACATAGACTCATTTCTCCATTTCAAATCACAACTAAAAACTCATCTGTTTAAAATTGCCTATAATCTTTAATATTAATTTTTCTGTCCCAGCCTTTGTATTTTTAAATGGTTTTATTTTGTGTTTAAACTTTGTTTCTGCCATTGTGTTTTTATATTTTGTACGGTAACCTTGAGGGTCCAAAAAGGTGCCTTTGAAATAAATGTATTATCATTAAATTACTTATGAAAGGAGGGTAAAATAATTTTACTAAATAAAAAAACTACAACTTGTGCACGCATTTTCCTCCCCAGTGTATCAATAGTTTAAACATGTCTTTATAATTTTGAGAGGAAGAATAATTTGGACTAGCTAAAGATGCATGCCACACTTTTAAGAATTTTATTAGTATTTTACCCTTCACAATGATGCAAGATTTTGTCTAAAAACAAAACTTAAATAAAAATTACATTTGAGGTTTTTAAGGTAACAAATGAAAACAAGTTTACAGGAAAATAAACACATTACAGCAGCTGACAGCTTGAACTCTAGAACTCACAGCACCTATTACTGAACTTGCTTCACACCATTAGGCTCCTTCAAGGGTTTTAAAGTTCTTGCAAGATAACACAGAGAGGTTCTACATTGATTTCTCCAAAGATAGCAGCTTACAAAAATCACAAACAGGCTCCTAAGATTAAGTCTACCCCTCAACCCAGCTTTCCACTTATCATAGTCGCTTTAAACATTTAGCTTCCATGAGGCAAAGGGTCTGTTTATGACAGCAACTTCAAATCCACAGGGACAAATGAGCATCTCAAATGAGATGGAAATGAAAGGAAAAATAATAAATAAAATGTAGGTGAACATTTGAACCAAACTGGATGTTTCTTATGCTGGCTGAACTGCAAGACCATGGAAGTAATATAAAAAAAACCCTAAAAATAAATAAATACAAGACAAACAATGAGATTTAAATGTTCTGAGGCAATTAAAAAAAATCACAAGCCACATGTGATGGTGGAGGGTTGTTTTGTTAAATAAAAAAGATAGATAAATAAACTGCATTTAGTCTTTCAAAAAAAATATATGGAGAAAGATTAATACAAAAAGAAGAGGTTGAGATCAGTTAGTTTACACAAGTAAAATGTAAAGAATCTGACTTTTAGGACAACTTTTGCTAAAAAATAAATAAATAAATAAAGGTGAGAGTGTTAAAAGAGGGAGAATAGAGGCAGGGAAGGGGGTGGGAAGGGGTGTACTTACATTGCAATTTGAGGACTGGTTTAGATTGCCTGCAGATCCTTCAGTCCACTCTGCAGTGTCACTACTGCTGGACTGTTTGCTGCGCTCATACTCCTTAAGCTACATGGAGAAGAGAAGTTTAGAGAGGCAGAGGGACAGGGCGGACCACCCACTCTCACCCAGCAACACTAGGTCTGGCTATAATTTAATGGACCACAGAGAAACATACATTCAGTGGAGTTCAATAACAGCGATTCAGTGTCTTCTGAAAGCTACAGCCTGGAGCTGGAAACCTTTACGTGTTGTAAATAGGATCATATGCTTTTTTTTATGTTATATAAACACATCCGATAACATGTCTAAACACAACGGATTGTCTGAGGATTAGCGCTTTGGCTGCTGTTTTCTTTAACTTTTTTCTTTCCTTTGGACTTCTGCTCTCACCTACATTGGTAGATGTGGCCCAGAGTCTAAATAATTTAGAGGAAAACTTAAATTAAGTTCTGATCAGTAAGCTGAGCTACAGTAAGGGCCAATTAGAGTGGAGTAGTTGGATTAAACAGCTCTATTCTAAAAAAAAAAAAAAAAGAAGATGTTGGTTACATATTTTTGTATTATTTTAAACTTTTTTCAAATAATTTTTTTCTACCATAAAATACATGTGGATCAAAATCACCATAATGAAATGCCAGAGATATATTAACACAGCGCTAACCCTCTCCCACCTATTGTACCGCTGCTAAGAAAACATAGTAGGCTGTTATGGATGGCCCAAAAAGTTTCAATTGAATGTCTTTTCTTCTTTTTTTGGGTATATTTTATCGAAATAACTACAGTAGCAGCCATTCAAAATTTCCCCGATTTCCTTGATGGACCCATAGCTGTTACTTGGCTGGTCCCCTATTATTCTTTTTTAAACATCAATCTTTGTACTAAAATATTCTTTCTGTCATGATTTGTGGAGATTAAGATCTTAAGAGAAGCTTCATCTCCTAACCTGACAACAGCCAGATGCATGTCTCGCTCCGCCTAGCTCCACTCACATACATCTGGGAACCCGCCATAGGAATTGCCTTTACTGAAGGCTGGGCCTTATCAAAACTCCTTGCATATGATTGGATAAGCCACTTGTCTGTCATCTTTATTGACGTGCTATTTCAACCACTCACACCAAAGCTAACCCGTGACGCTGTGAGAGGAGGAGCCATTTGGTAGATCAAGCTCTTGCCAAATCCGGTCGGGAGAAGGGCGAAAACATCGTTTTCACCAACAAAAGCCTTCAAAGCCGTTCTCTGATGTTCTTTTGATGAAACAATATCAGATAGATTGGACAACACAGAAGAAATAGCAGCATCAATGCTAACGCTTGCTTCCTCAATGCGAGCCGCCATTGTTGTTGGAATCTCACGGTCGCTTCTCCACTCCAGGACACACCCGCCCTGCGTCCTGATTGGACAGACCATAAATTCGGTTGGGGAAATCACTTTCAATGAGCGGGTTCCCAGATGTATGTGAGTGGAGCTAGGCGGAGCGAGACATGCATCTGGCTGTTGTCAGTTTATCATCTCCTGGTCAGACCCTCTAATTCAGAGAAACGGTGGAGTGTGAGTAAAAAAAATGTGCAGGCTCGGGAGAAGACCAGTGGCTTGAAGTTGGAGTGGATTTTGCTGGAAGCTGCAGGGAAGTGGGCTGCCATTCGGCTGGTGTTTGACCGGGAAGGGCAATTTTGAATGGCTGTTACTTTAAGATAATGTGATTTATTAAAGAATCATGTTTTTAACAATATTTCTCTTCAGAACATTCCATACTCAAAATTTTAATTATACCAAAAGAAGTAGACATGTCAGAAAACAACATTTTTCCAACGTTACAAGAAAACAGCAGATGTCAGGTTCATGAAAAAGTGGGACAACCGTGGAACAGAAATAAAAGATTAAAGCAGGCTAATTAACAAGCTAATATTGGCTAGCTATAGAAATGTTCTTTAAATGTCATTTAACCAGGTGTTTATTTCGCCCTCTTTATATCTGTTGGTTCCTACATATTCTCAGTTTTTCTCTCCTTTATTTTTTCATGATACTTTTATATATTCAAAAGACAAACAAACCTAACCCTAAAAACACCATGTTAACAAATTAGAATGATAAATTAAGTCTAATTTAGTCTATTCTAAAGCATCCATCAGATCAGGTCAGTCAAAACTAAATTAATAATTTTACACACCCTATAATATCGCAGGACTATGGAAGAGAATTAGGGGCATTTAAAAGAAAAAAAAAAGTTAACTGATTTTTGAATTTCAGTTTAATATGGGAAAAAAGCAATTCTGACTTAAAAGTCAGAAATTTGACTGTTTTTTTTACTTTTAAGTCAGAATTTTGAGATTAAAGACAGAATTCTGACTTTTTCCCATGATAGCGTGAAATAAAATGAAAAATTCTGTTTCCTTTTTGTTTTTTTTTTACTTTTTTTAGTGGACCTAATCCTCTTCCGTACAGCTTCCTCTCAGTGGTGACAAACTCTCGCTCTGCTCTTTACTGTATCTGTATTTTTTATTTTTGTATTTTACACTCAGCTTTGCCTGCTGCCGCTACAGACTCCGTGTTTGTGGTGTATGTCATTAATCACGGAGTCAAGGTGAACCACCTGCGCTCTGAATGTCAGGGAAAAACGCTGTAATCATAGGCTGTAATGGATTTCAAAATACTAGAAATGTATTCAATAGTCATATCACCATTATTGAATAAAATTATACCACAAATATTGGCAATTAATTATTGTCGCGCCCTAAATAATGATATAAATGTTTATCATTTAAAAAAGAAATAAAAAAAACATAATATGTTCACTTTATATAGAAACAATTCACAGCGAATGTAATCTCAAGGCACTTTACAAAATAAAAATCAATAAATACAACACATAACTATAAAGTCAGTTTAATCATAAAGACATATTCAATATTGACAATCAAATCAGATTTTGTTTATTATTCAAATTGGCTAAATATTTGATCTATTGATCTTTAGTAAACACTTCTGCCTAACTAAGGAATAGACAAGTTTGCTTTATGTTTGGCTTTATGGTGAGATCATAAAATGGGCCTCTGCCATTTTAAGGAGCTGAAATAATTATAATTATATAAAATTATATTGATTTTTTTGTGTGTGACATTTTCAGTTGTATTTAAAGTTGTAAGAGCTTTTAAAGAATGTGACTTAATATATAAACGATTATTCTTTAAAGTTATCCTCATCACCATGGCTTCACAGGATCAGATAAACACAATGAAAAAGGCAGCTGAAATTCAAAATAAATAAAAATGTGTAATCCAGTTCTTGATTTTGGCCAACCAGGTATGTTATAAACAATAAAGATTGTCACACATGAAAAAAGAGAAGGCCAAAAAGGAGACAGAAAAGGAAGCTGGAGGGTAGAAAAAAATACTAAACTTGAACTGATTGGAGACTCATTAGGAAAAAAAATCATAGCAAAGTGTGAAATAATTATCCACCATGTCCAAAGAGGAGAAAAAAAACAAAAAACCCACAACGCACCAGATAATCATTCCCAACAGGATGGGCCACTAAGCTACTGATTCACCATGACTATCAACAATGGAATTAGGAGCTGAACAACACTACCACACACACTCCCAGAACACAACCCCCCAAATACTAAACCTCAGGAAACACCAGCAAATCTGTAAATTGATTATGTGTTAAGTGGGTGTTTGTGGGTGTGTGCGTGTGGTTGTGTTTGGGTGTGTAAAAAAAGAAAATACAATGCAGTGATAGCAAATGGGGAGCCTTGTTTAGGTTAGTAAGTTAGTTTTAGGAAGCCAGAGTGATTGGAAGACTATGGATCACAAGGGGAAAAGGGATTTGGATCCAGGACAAAGGTAAGACATGTGAAGATTGTGTCTGGTTTAAAGATTGGCTTAATTGTTGAAGTAGGGAAGGTTTTGAGGAGAGAAGGAGTAGAAAAAAACAATGTGGGAAATGATTCCTACCCGAGCCAGAGCTTCTTCTACAGTGATCATTTTCTCTTTAACCATCATCATCAGCTGAATGCGCTCTTCGTCGCTCATCGTGATCTCACTGGCAACATACCCGATATCTTCTCCTAAAGAGACCACAGAGAAAACATAGCAATCAAGAGAATAAGGCTGTGGAAATGTATTTAAAAGTTTGTGGAGGATTTTCGCAAATTTTTGAAAAAAACCCGCCATCTCCGCTTAAAAAAAAAATGCACATGCATAACCCTTTACCCACTACCGAAAGGGGACCACCTATTAAATGCGTGTGAGAGCATGCACGAGCCCATTTCTGTTTGTGAACACTCTGTTTAGAAGTTGCTGTTTCCAAAAAGAAAAATGGGGACGTGCACGTACGCTGGAAAATAACGCAATCTAAATAAGTTCTTAAAATAAGCGCATTCGTTCTTAAATTGAAGAGGTAAGTTAAACATTAATTTACATTTAAAACAAGAAGAAACTATTGCATTGTCTTATTTCAAGTGCATATTATCTAATTATCTGATTTTAAAGGCAAAAATACTAATCTTACTGTATTTACCAACTCAAATTAGGGGTTAATACATTTAATTTAAGACATTTTTACTTATCTCTTGATCGTTTTTGCAATGTAGGATGGCCTTAAATTAACATATCACCAGAATGATTCACAATTAGGAGGACCACTTATTGTGATGTTTGACCCAGAAAAAGAACATCTTCCACTATACCTTTAAGATTAATTATCCTTTGCACTACAATTAATTACATCAAATACCTTTCATTGAGATGTTTGATAGACCAAAATAAAAGGCACATAATTGTTAAATAAGAACAAACTGGAACATGCATTAACATTTTTACAGAAATATAAGGCCTGCTATTATATTTACAGTCATTGGGCCGTTTTAAGCATTTATTTTAAGTATTTCACTGTGGCACTGCCTGTTCAACAGTGAATCCAGGTCTCAGTTTTAAGCGTCTAACAAGTTTTCTTTCAGGATTGCCCTGTATGTTGCTACATCAACCTCTCCGTTTACTTGTATAGCTTTTCTCTTGCCACTCTTCCATAAAAGCCAAATTTGTGCGGAGAGCTACCATCGGTGTAAACAGATTCCCTTGCATGAGCTTTGCATCTCTACAGCAACTCCCAAGCTACCCAGGGCCTCTTGGCATCTTCTCTACATAAAGCTCTTCTTCCCAACCTGTCTGTTAGGTGGATGTCATGGTTGGTGTGTAGTTAGTCCATCCTGTTTGTACTCGAGTCACCTACCGACCTCCCTGGTGTGTTCCTTGGTCTTAATGATGATATTTTATCACCAATGTTCTGTTTACAATTATCTTGGGATATCTTAGAAGAACTGGATTTCTGTAGCACAAACCAGGGATTTAATTACAAAAATCAGATGCTTAAATATGCCAGTTATCAAATAACATTTTTATCCCATTTTTAAATTAGAACCGGACTGACTGTTTACAAATTAGGTAATTTTTGAATTGAGTTAGTTGCACTTCGAATTTTATGTTTAGAGTATAAGCAGCCAAATACATATGAACTATATTTTTAAAAATAGAAAGTACGCATTTGAAAAGTGATAACGTTTTGCAATACATCAACATTTCATGGTTAAGGTGTATAATTGCTTTTATAAAGTTCTATAAGGTCTGTAAAGCAAGAGTCACACCAACCTTTAGATGACTGACGAGCAACCGGTTTGTGCTGAGATTTGCGGAAGTTCTGCCAAAAGGATTTGTTTTTCTTCTTGTTGTCCCATTTACCTTAAGGAAGGAGAGATATCCTTTTTATAAATTACCCAAAATATCCTTCCTTTTTAATCAAGCCTCCATGTTTTCAGCTACACTTTTAAGTATAATTTTAGACAGCAAAACAATCAACAAGAATTCAATTAATTTAGAATGCTAAAGACAAACAAACAATTTGCATCTCAGTTTACCTCCAGATCCATCTTCAGAGCTGGACTTGTGCAAAGGCATTCTGCAGAAAAACAAAATGATAGATTAAAGGATTCAGTAGGATTGAAAATATAATGCGTTATTTACTCCAGCATAATTACACGTGTTTGAATTAACAATGGTGGAAAAGGTACTTCAGCCCCGTTTAGGCGCACAAGTACAGTATGGGGGGGGATTTTTTTAATGAACTAGTGCTGCAGTTCTGCCTTTTTACCACTTGGGATCAGTGATGGTGCTTAAGAGATCGAGAACCAGGCTCCCGAGGCTTGAAAGGGAGAAGGCAAGGATGGTGGAAAAACAAATTAACATAATAGAACATGGTTATAACTCTTCAAAAAGAAAAAAAAAATGAAAAAAACACAGACTCCAAAATAGAAAAAGAAAACTGTATGATAAGCTAGACATTAAAGCTATTGACAAAAGTATAGATCTAAGGGAGGTTAAAGGGCTAGAAGTAGGAAGCAGAACGACAGGGTCCACTGGGCAGACACAGCCTGTTTGTGTTTCCACATCCATTCAAAGAAGAGATACTTTGAGGAAAAGAGAAAAAAGGGAGAGGAACTGAGAGCATAACACAGACAGAAACTGAGAATATTTGAGTGAAAAAAATACCCATTTTCACATAGACAAGAGCAGACACACTATAAAGAAAAAAGATGCTTAAAATCTATTCAGCTTTCAATCAAAATGTCATGAAAGAGCAGCTTAACCTATTTTCTAGCCCACTCAGTAGCGCATCAGTTCTGAACAAGATGAGAGATCCTGAATCTGTCAACTTCATATAAAAAAGAACAGGCTGAATAGATTTTAAGTTCTCAAGCTTCACAGGAAAAACTTGTACAAAGGTATGTGAACAGTTGCGAGACAAGGAAGACATACTGACAGTTTATAGAAATAACATCTGATCTGGTTGATTAATATTAAAGGACTACAATGATGCTTGAATGATTAAGGAATCTACTGAAAATACAAGCAAAAATAAAGAGCAAAGCAATTGCAAATTTTAAACAACCCGTGTATTCCTAATGTGACAACTGCCAGCCTTTGATTCTGTTACATTGGGGCACCTTTGATGAATTTGGCACGTGCAAAGCCACAGACACTGAATTGATGTGAAAAAATGTGCCACAAGATCAAAGCGGAATGAAGAGCTCATTTCCTCCTCTGCAATGTAACTAAATGTCCAAGTGTGTATGTGCACATGAACACATGTTTATTCAAACACGCCAGTCCTCTCGTGGTGCAGTGGGAAATATCTGCACTGCTTTAAGCTTGGCTGCCATAGCAACATAATGGGATGCAAATTGAATGGAGGACTGTAAGGTCCCCCCACCCCCTTGATAGGCTATAACCAAAGCTAATGCTAATGGAACTCATTCAATAGAAGCTTTTCTCTGGCAGTATTGCAGCCCCCCCCAAACACACCATCTATAAATTAACCCCCATTTGGTACACATACACACACAGATGGGCTTTTAAAGTCCTTGGATGTTTTCAGTTGAGTTGTTCAGCCAAGCCATTGTGTCACTCTGTAACTTAATTGGTTTAACCTTAAATGTTTTCCATGGTTTTCCAGTTTTTTTTCACCTCTTTAGATTTGTTATGGTAAATCTAATCTAAAAGTACAGGAACTCGGTTAAGAAAATATATAAAAGTGATTCCTGAACTTTGATTTCAGTGTTTCAGGACGGATGGCTTCTGTTGTCTATGAAAGCAGAGCATGACTTTCCCTGCATTTATTAGTTTAAAGTCTTTTTCATTCTCATTCTGACAAATAATTTTTATCACAATCAAGTAAGGCTTTTCTCGTATTGTATCGTATGGAAAATGAGCCAGATATTTAAACAATTTTCAGTGCAATGGCCAAATTGAATAATTTTGCTAGCCTCGTGAGAACATCCTGATCTCGCGAGCTTTCAATGTTTCACTCGCAGATCAGTCTGGCTACTTTCCGTTAAAGAAAATTTGGAGCCGTTCACCAAATGAACGTCCAATCAGCGTTGGCTTTGAGGCGGGTTGAGGTGTGACGCAACGAGAAGCGCGACAGTTCAGTCTAAAGAACATGGCGGCTTCAGGCGATGAAACTAGCATTAGCGCGGCTATCGAGCAAGTTTTATCGGAATTACAGAGTATTTCTTCACTGAAAGAAGAGCAAAACACTGCTGTGGAGGCTTTTCTCAGAGGAAAAGATGTTTTAGCTCTTCTCCTGACTGGTTTCGGCAAGAGTTTGACCTATCAATTGACTCCTCTTCGTCGTCACTCTGTTAGTACGTCATATGCTTCGTTGATCTGATTGGTTTATTTGGCCCGTCTATCACAAACATAGGCCAATCAGCTAACCAGTATTTTCGCCCCTTCCCAAAATTACTTCAATGGAAGGTTTCCTGATGGATATGCAGAGCAAATCCATCTGGCGGAGTCAGGTTATAATTTTGCACCTTATGAGCGGAAAAACAACTGATGCCATACTCAGGACATCACAAGCAGGGTATTCATTCAGTTGTCTATTATTTTTGTAGGCAAAGAGTTAACAGATCCTGTTTTCAGTCGTAAGGTTAGACACCTCTGTTCTTGTAGAAACAATTAAGGTAACGGCATAAGGATGGCAAAGTGAAACAGGATGAACATTTGAGATTACAGAGGTCATATAAAAGGAAAACCAGAGGCCATGAGAATAAGCAAGCAACAAAAAAGAGCAAATAAAACGTGCCTATTTCAGAAAATACAAATGTATTAATTTTCTGCTACTCATACATTAAACTTTCAGTAAAAATAACCAGTTTCACTTGCAACACAACCAGCATTTTGCTTCTGTCAGGAAAACATTGTTCTCATGGCACATCTTATAGATCCTTCAGAATGTTGCTTGAGCAGGAATCGAGTTGCAAAACTGCCCAAATGTACCAAATCCACACAGTTTCCCTCTTGTCTCACATCAGCACACATGTTGGCTTTCATCAAGATAGATTTTCTTATTTTGTTAACCTTCTTGATCAGCCAGCTGTGTCCTCTTTGTAACAATACCAGCCAATCAATCGCATTTCAAAACAGGAAGTCGGGCAGCTTGAACCCCTGCAACCTTCTCAGAGCTCTCTGTCAGCTACGTTTGCTTGCATACCAAGCATAGCAGGAGCTGTGCCCACCTCTTGCAAGCAATTTCGCAGGGAGATGCAGAGACTGAGGGGTGGCACAGCCACTGGATGGAGTCTGGGTAATCTTCAGCTGTTCCACTGAGAGGTGATGATGGAAGGATCTGTATGTCAGCATGCAGGCATGCCTTATGTGGTCTGTAAGGAATGTGTATCCATTTGCTCGCACATAATAAATCATTCTACCTTAAATCCATCCATGCACAATAGAAAGTGGACAACGGGAAGCGTAACAGAAAGGTGAGAAATGACGGCAGATTAAGACGAGAGGGGATCTTAGGAGAGGATAGACTTCATAGAGGATTCAGAGGGCACTGGTGTGAGAGATTATGTCCAGAAGCATGAAAAAAGTTAATTACATAAAGGTATTATAAGTTTTTTTTTATGTATAATGTAATTCCTGAAATAGAGTCTGGATTTCTGTGAGCAGACTAGCAGAAAAAACTAGGTGCAAATGAATGAAAAGCCTTCTGATAAGAGCCTCCCTGAGGACTACTGGTCTGCCAAAGTCTGGATCTTCCTGATAAAAAAGAAGGTATCTGATGAGACTCTGTGAAGCATGAGAAACAGCAAGAAGCCAGAGGGAAAAGTGAAGAAAGTAAATAGTTCTGTTAAGGCCTCCATGAACAGCACAGAAATGTCATTCAAGCTTTGGCATCTGGTTTCCATTATCCTCGGCATATGCCTGTGTAACATATACAGCCATGGGAAAAAGAGATCATGTCTGTGGTATGCACTTCCTCGGCTGCACGTGGTCATCACATGAACATGAAACAGAGGAGTTCAGACTTGGGTGACAATCAGAGACAAATATAAGGGGAAATAAAATGAGAGATGACTTCATAGCTTTTGGTTTTGACAAAATTGACGAGAGAAATAATGGATTATCCTGTGAGGTGAAAACAGACTGCTAAGCCTAAATTTTAGAACATCTTTTCCTAAAAGTGCAGAGAGCATTTTTATTTAATGCATCTGAGTCACTGCTTTGCAGAATCACAGATGCGTGTGAGTCTGCTGGTATAGGCCTTTACCAGCTGTATGCAGCTTAAGTTTATTGATTCCTTCAAGTAAAGGCTAGAGGTCAGTCAGAATGGGTTTGTTCAGGACTTGCCACCAATTTTCAAATGCATTTAGATCTGGACTTTGACTAGACCATTCCTAGATAAATATACATTGATATAAACTATTACATTGTTGCTTTGGGATGTAGGTTTATTGACATTGTTTCTCAGCCATTTGGATTTTCTTCCAAGATTACTTGGTTATAAAAACATAATGCAAAAACGCAAGCTGTAATTTTTTGATACAGGAACCTTTCAAAGAGGGCCCCACCCATGCCATATTCCATCCTGCTCTTTCGTCCCGTGTTCTTTTCTGTTGTAATCTTTCAACCATCAGCCTCCCTCTCTCTCCCCCCTCTTCCTCTGCAGGACACAAAGCCAGGAAGGAAAGGTACAGAGGGCAGAATGGACACTGAACACAGCAGCTTAGCCTGAAGGAAGCAGGCTCTCGGTTTCCTTGAACCATAGCAGGGACATTGCCGAGGGTGTTAGAATGACCAACTCCATCGGAATTCAAATGTCTGTCTGCAGAAGGCTAGATAGCGTCACCCACTTAAGAAATTTTTATTCTAACATTCCTTATGTTTACTTAGACAGCAAGCCTTGGTTTATCGGGGAAAATTTACTGCTGTCAGAGGTGAAAAATACTAAAACTTGGGTCTGATTGAATTTTGGCATCCAGATTTGATCCGCTTTTTTCGGATGAACCGAACAAAGTCGTCATGCTTTATCAGCTTCTTGTATTTTATGCATGCCGGCCTGTCAAAGTTTTGTACTAGCATCCAAAGTCGGTGTTAGTCATTGCTTATTATAACGAAACACAAAAAATCCTTGGTATAGATTGTTCCATTCAGCTAATGTGGAGGGAGCATCTTTTCCCCAAAGAAACGGTCACATATCTTTTGTAAACGCTCTCTTACAAGATATCTGTCATTCACATGCTGTCTGGGGAGACTTGCTTTTTCTTTTTCTTTTTGACTGCCTGCATCTGTGCTGTGGCCTGCAGAAAGTCCTGATGTGATTCATGGTTTGTAGTGTGTGCAAACATATATGGGTTTATACAATCCAGACACGTTCTGAGCTGTTTGGACATGCAACAGGCGCACATTGCTGGGTTTCAACACTGACCGCGGACACGTGTTGGAGTGATAGAGTAGGAAAAAAAGAATGGAACATACCTTCTGTCTGTTTCAGGGGTGGACACCTCACTGCTGAAGCCAAGAGATTCCTGAGTAAAAACATAAAAAAGATCATTACTTTTTTTTCTATAAAAACAGAATAATATCATGTTTCTAATTGATTTTTTCAGTTTTTCTTAAATCTCTGAATAAAAATAAAAACAAAACAAAAAATTAGAGAAATAGTAATTTATTCAAATGTAGCTGGTAGGTAAGAGTAGTTATGTTTGGGATGGCAAATATTTCTTTAAACACAAGGCCATGTTGGTTAGGACTGTTTTTTTTTTTTTTTTTTTTTTTTTTAAATTATAATTGGAATAATTATACTAAAAAAATTTTTTTTAAATTTCTCTGTTTTTCTCTTCAGATAAAAAAAAAAAAATCTTTGAGGCAGATACTTCATACAAAGAATCTTTTCTTACCTGGATCTCATTGCGAAGCTGGAGAGAGGTGCTGCTTGGGTCCTGTTTATCCTGAAAAAAAAAAAAAAACTATTATAAACCAGTTTAGGCATAGAAATATAAAAAAATATAAATTAAATAACTAGGAAAAATAGTGGAAAAAAACATGTGTCAAACTTCAATGAGTGACATTTTTTCATGGCATGTTCAGGACATGCAGCACCTGCAAATCACTCAAAACAAACACAAGCACGGGCATACACATAAATATTAGATAAATACTGGAATCAAGACTTGCTGTGGGTAGCTAAACCTGCAAAGGTTTAAATGTTAATGTCACCTGGCGGCAGCAGAGGTTGTGTAGCGCGGTCTTAGCTTTTAATTAAAAACCAAAACTGGCCCTGCTGACTCCTTTGAACAATTATTATACCACTAGAGTCATTCAACCGCAAGCAATTCCCAGCTGTTTTATTTTACAATACAATTTATCAGACCAATATACAGTGTTTTATTATAAAAGCTTGCTTTTAACTATTGCAGAGGGGGAAAAACCTGTCTCTGTGTCGCTACAGTCTTTAGCTTGGGATGTTTAAGCTGCAATGACACTCATTGGGCCAGTAATTGGCTTAAGGGTAGCCAGCTGCATTTCAAAGTGTGCACCAGAGTGGAGACAAAAGGGCTGACCTCAGGTCCATAGCTTTCTTTGATAGAGGTTATCTCCCTGTTATGAGCCACACAACCTGAGAGGTTACCTGGCTCATTAAAAGTGTTTGAGATACTTTTCCAAAGGTCTTATTTCTTCCAGTGTTTCATTTCAATACGAAGAAATTCACCATTAACCATTTTTAAAGGGATGGGCAAGCTTTCAACCAATGCACTACTAAATCTGTCAATATTATAAATAAGAATGACCATTATTACTCTGCAAAGTTGTAAAGGAACTAGCAGAAAAATGGACCATGAAAATGCAAGTATATATTAACAAATGACAGACTTGGTCTGAAGCTGACAATTAGAGCAGAACTAGTTAGAAGCTGACTAAAGTGGATCAGCACAGAATAATACCAGAAAACAGAACAAACTGGGCAGTTTCTAAAAAAAGATGTATATAATATCCATATCTAATTTACTGTTGCTATAATTGCATAAATAAAAAAAGTGTGCATTTTAGGTTAGAAAAGAACAGAATAATTTACTTTAATAGTGTATGGACCCCTTGATAAAGCCTTGCCTACTTTGTGGCAACCATTGGCATAAAGTTTTGTAATTTTTCAAAGATCATTCAATAATTCATCAAAAAAAATGTATGAATACCATGAGAGTTACTGTTAAAAAAAACAGCTTTAGATGTCTACTATGAAGTATGAAGTCCAAGCAATAAGAGACCAGCATATACATTATCATATGATCATGAAAGTTTATCATCATTTTCAAGTATTTCTAATCAGAGGTCACACAGAGGAAACAATATATAGAGAGAATAACAAGTTTACTACTAATGCTAGTTAATTACTAACCAGAGGTGATGACAACCCTCTATTCAAATCAATTTATTCATATAAAATGCAAACATTGTACACAGTCACCTGCATAGTGTTGCTGGCTCCATAGCAATCACTCATAGACACAATAAACAACCCAAACAGTGTTTTATATGTCAATTTACAAACACCACCAATGCCAACACCTAATTTGGGAGGCAGCTGTCAGATCTTGGAATAGGTTTTTCTTTTTTAGTTTGCCTGTAAATAAGAAAACCCCCAAAGTAAAACTAGCGACACAGACTACAAGTTCTACTCGTCTATCTATATGCCATATGGGAGAAAACAAAGAGACTTGAAAATTATTGTTTTTTCTTTTCTTTTTTTTTTTAAGGAGGTGCTTCTTAAATATAAAATAGGAAAGATCCAAAAGAAGAAGGTAGAAGCAGGAAAAGTTAGTAACATCCCAAAGAGTAATTTAGTTTTAAAGTTTGGGACTTTTTTTTGTGAGACAAGGAGAGCAGAATTTAGAACTCGCATTGAAGGTGAACTTTAAAAAAGTTTTTGGATCTATTTATGTCTGGAAACTTAAGAGGAAGCACCAATCCCACTAGCTTGACTGACTTTCACAATGTACTAACAGAAAGGGAAACCACAACCTCAGACGAGTCCCTGCTTCTTCTTTCTAGTTGACATTTAATAAAATACAGGTAAGGTAAAGAATGACTGGAGATGCTAAACTCTGACAAAGATGAGCTATTCTGAAACCATCACGCGTTACTGTGAGGTTTTGGGATTTAAGTCATGTGAGGAAGTCTATTTCAATCAAAGCTGAAGATGTTGTGGTTTTCCTAATCTTTTATCCACATGGCAGACACAAATCTTGTCAAATTCCATAGCAAATTAATGGGATGCTACCGCAGAAAGACGTTGCTTAAGCAACAGAGTTAAGATCAACAAAGAAGGTCTGGTCAGTACATGAACATTTTGTGCTTGGCTTTCTAAAAACTATTTATCTGAACTCTGTCCTGCTGCCACTAAGACTAATAGAATCAAAATGTTCCAAATAGAGAGCAGGAAAAGGAAATCAGTAACCTCTTCCTTTTTTTTTTTTTAACTGTGAATCACCCTTTCTCTGCACATATATTAGGTTAAAAGACAATAGTAACAGGAAATCAAATAAAGAATGACTTCTTAGTTAGTGTCCTATACTTCCTTTAGCTTTACACGAGAACGTGCCTTCTCTCCACACCATCAACTTTTAAGCATGAGTGACTCAGTCAGAGATGACATAACCTCTTCACAAGGTCCTTAAGTGCTTCAAGTGTTCGGAGTCAAATGAGCAATGGCCCTTAAAAGCTGAGCTGGCAAAAACCTTCAAATTAGTCTCAACCCTACACTTAAGATAACACTAATCAGCAGCTGCAAGACTGCATAAATGATAACAAGACAACATAGCAGACTTCCTTCAGTTCCAACTCATTTGTTCATATGTTTATATCTCTGGTCGGGCAAATGTATACAGACATTTGTTTGCGAGATAAATCATGAGAACTTAGGCAGATTTTGCATCCAGGGAATATAAGGATTCCCATAAGTTAGAGAGCAGGTATCTTCCTAAGGTCTAAAACACTTTTTCTACTAACTTGCCAGGAAAATCTGGGACGGAACTGTTTGCCTTTCTGTAAAAGGAAGAGATTATTGGAGACAAAGAAAAACCACATCCATCCTTTGAACAAACACAGCGTTGGTGTTCCTGTTTGAACAAAAGCGACTGAGCAAAATGTTGTTTACTTAAAAAAAAAGACACATAAAGAGGGAGAGGCATTAAAGAAAGCATATATGCACATTCAGGAACACTTTCACAAAGGTAGCGATGGGCTGTTTTTTTTCTATCAGATCCTCCTTGATGTGTTCTCCGGCTTGTAGGATCTTATGCATGTCTGTGCCAACAACATGGGGGGCGCAGAAACTGACGTCAAACACAAAAAGCGGAGCTCACCTACTGAAATGCAAACATTTCGCCTCCACTTTCACAGACAGTGATTGTAAATACACAAAGCTGCTCTCTGATTCTCCTACTAAGCTCCAGTTTGTTCTTGCATTCAATCCTACAGTCAGTTTCTCAAGGGATCCTCAGCATAACACAGTTTTTTCTATAAATTTCTAAGAGAAAACAATATGAGACAACTAGTATCATGAAGAAGATGATGAGGTGGAGAAATATAAACAAACATTTACAAATTCGATGGCACAACCTCAAACCTAACCTGGACACTTTAATAATTGAAGTGGCAAACAGGCTCATTTCAACTTTGGAGGAGGTGCAAAGATCCACGCCTCAGGTAGAAAAGAAAAACACAATCATGTATAACCTTGTGTTTTTTTGTGTATCGCCTCACAAATATTTTTCCAAAGCATTGTATTTATTTTTTTACAAAGGAAGCATAGTTTCAGGAACAGAACTTCGGATCAATATATTATCAAAGCAAAGCTATGATCTCATCAAACCCACTCCCTGAGGACGCCTGCTTCCCTTCGTTTGAACTAGCGAGCATCATCTTGTGATGCTGTCCTACTTACCCGAACCTGGCACTGTGTGTTAAACATGCATATTTTTTTCCACCAGATGGCTTCAGAAGTTATTTGCCCAGATGTCTGTGTGTATGGGCATGCATGTCTGAGGCAAATGCATTATATCTTTAACTGCTAAAGCATGACGGGGCTGAGTTGGAATAAAATGAAGCAAAAGGGAGAGCTTTGACTAATTAGGATCACGATGTCAGAAGGCAGGAGACTTGGTATACCCTAATGCATTTCCAAAAAGACACTCATGAAAAGTGGCTGTGATGTTACCTGCATTTTGATATTTTGAGTCTCAACAGGAGCATATACAGTAAATAGAGAGATGCAACTAGGCACAAAACTGTTTATTCCGGTTTATCCAGTTTATTGCAAGAACTTGAGCCAGCACAAGTAGGTGGATATGCTACAAAGGGAGAGAGAGGTTTTTTAGTGTAGGCTCGCCAGCTGGCATGACTGTCTAAATCTGGGTGGGCGAGTGAGAAGTTTCTAGGTATGAAATGTGAATGTTGAAAGACAGGCACTGAAAGAGAAGCAGGAGCTGAGCCGTTGGCCGTGGAACCAGTACAGCACGAAGTGAGCCTGCACAACCAGTTTATTTGAGGAGATCATACACACAAAGTTTAAACACACTAATTGCACAAAAAATGCATTGTTGTTCAAGTCTTGCCTTCAAAAACAGGATATGCATGTTCGTACCTCAGCAGACAGCCTGCAATTCCAGTTTACATCAGCGGCATGTTTGAAAGTGAAAAAGTACACCAAGAGGACCCCCAAACAACAAAGTCTTCCTTTCAAGGGAGCAGATTCCTAAGCCTTGAGGATCATCTTTGTTTTGGCAATTCAAGACTAATACCACAGTTATTACAAATTCCAATGACAGTCAGGAGTCCAACACTGACAAATAAATCATGTAACAAAATTACAAATACTCCACATGCTTTCCACTTGGGTTATGCCAACAAGGGAGGGCTGCCAACATCTTTTGGAATCAATCTCCAGCCACAA